TTTCTGAACAGTATGACTGGATTCCAAAAGTAAATGTATTATAAAGTTTTATGTTCAACAACTTAAGTGGCTTTGGTCCAGCTTGTTACTTTAAATTCTGCCCTTCTCCTCTTTCTCCTTTCTAGACATTCCTTAACATGTTTGTAGACAGCAATCAGGATGCTCGCAGACGCTCAGTCAACGAAGACGATAACCCACCCTCACCAGTGGGTGTAGACATGATGGACAGTCTGATGAACCAGCTGCAAGCTCAGCAGCAGCCACAAACACTGAGAGGGGCTGCAGGCGGTGTATATCCTCCTCTCACATCACCACCACCAAATTACCACACTAATGTAACTCCCTCACCATCCATGATGCCGACCCCATCACCAGGTAATGGCAAACATTGTGCTTGGTATTTGTTCCGGTCTGTGCGAGTGAATGATTTACTGTATTGTTTGCATCATGTGAGACTGTCAAGCTGCCATAGAGCATTCTGACCAACAAATCATCGTTTTGTTGCAAGAGCAAACTGTGTGTGTGTGTGTGTGTGTGTGTGTGTCTGAGGAAGAGCAACCATGTGTGCCCGTTTTAAGTTATTCCAGTTGTGTTCATCATGCAACATAAACACACTGCACAGCTGAGAGGGAAGAAAGCATGCATTTAGCCCTGCTCCTTCCATTCCTCACCATCTCAGCCCACCAGCCAGTCTGCAGCCCTTCAGCCCAGCTTTAGCATGTGTGTGCGTGGTTAAAGGAGAACTTGTCAACCTCTGAGTCTGACGAGCTCTTTGGTGTGTGTATTGTATGTGTGTGTGCAGGGAACATCCTTGCCTCTGGCTCCCCTAGTGGAGCTCTGAGGGCACCCTCTCCTTTCGGGCCCACCCCGTCTCCGTCTTCTCTGGGCATAGCCATGGGCCAAACCAGCTTTGCCAGCCCCCACGGTAAGCAGGAGGGTGAATGCTGGCCTAGTGGTGAATCTGTTCTGCTGGGCAAGGGCTAGACCGGGCTGAACACAAGACCTTCACTAGACATTTGTAGGCTGCAGACATGAGCAAACATATGACAAATATCCTGTAAAGTGCGGGCACACAATGGTATATTTATATGTATTTATTGTTCTTTGTTAATTGCTGCTGTGTGACTAATGGCTGTCTGTTCTTTACCCCAGGTGCTTTGGACCCCAGCTCACCATATGCCATGGTGTCTCCCAGCCACAGGGTCCAGTGGCCTGGCTCACCTCAGGTCTCAGGGCCTTCTCCTGGGGCAAGGATCCATGGCATGTCTCCTGGAAACCCTTCACTGCACTCACCAATCCCTGATCCTCATTCTCCACGTGCTGGGACCAGTAAGTTCTGCTTTCTCACCATTTCCTGTCATTATTGAATAAATCTTTTTTTTTCTACATTTTGTTAATGTAACCAATTCAATTACATTGCAGAGAGTACGCTTTTTATAATGCGTGTCTTTTTTTATTTTAGGTTCACAAGTCTTGCCGACCAGTATGCCTCCACCCCGCTTGCTACCTCAGCGCCCCTGGGCCGCCTCCATTCCTACAATCCTCACCCACAATGCCTTGCATGTGCTTCTGCTACCCTCACCCACTCCCTGCCTGGTGCCAGGCCTGGCAGGAAGCTACCTATGCTCGCCACTGGAGCGCTTTCTGGGCTCAGTTATTATGAGACGACACCTGCAGAGAATCATCCAGCAGGAAGCCAATGTGAGTGTTTCATAAATCATCCTGATTAGGAGACTAGATGATAACTTTTGTAGGTTTGTTTGTTTCTTAAGCTCTGTTACCTGTTTTGCTCTCCCCTCACTTTCCCCACTCCTGTCCTCTCACTTCTAGTTGTCCATTGTGAACTCTAATGAGCCAGGGGTGATCATGTTCAAAACTGATGTGCTTAAGTGCCGTGTGGCTCTCAACCCAAAGAACTACCAGACGTTGCAGCTCAAAGTCACTCCTGAAAATGCGGGTTCCTGGACCCAGGAGGAGCTTCAGGTGCTAGAGAAGTTCTTTGAGACACGGGTATGTAAAGTAGTGTGCAAAAAGGTTCAATTTATAAATTATTCAGACATACTTGAAGAAAAAGCCTTTTCTCAACTGACCATACTTGCAGGCATAGTGTTGGTTCTTTATTAAAATTCATGCCTGACCGTGATAGCTGGTCTCTTGTATTTTATTTGTTTATTTATTTTTATGTAGTGAAACCACCTACTTGTTTTACATTTGTCTCATAGGTTGCACCATTAAGGCCACTCACATAAGGAACCCATCCCTGCACTGATGTTGTTTCAGTGATCTGTCTTCTTTTGTTGTCTTCCTAGGTTGCAGGTCCTCCATTTAAATACAACACTCTGAATGCCTTCACAAAGCTACTGGGGGCACCCACTAACATCCTTAGGGACTGCGTTCGCATCATGAAGCTTGAACTGGTGAGTAGCTGGTTTGTTTGTAAGAGTGGCTGTTACTGTTGAATATGCAAACTGAACAAAACCCCCATCGCTCATCCCTCTCCTGTTCTGCTAGCTATTGAGTGGTAGTGACTGTACAGAACAAATGCACTATGTACATGGTGTGTGAAAGTGTGCACACATGCATATATTAAAATGTAGTCCTCTTCATTTCCTCCTATATAGTTCCCTGACCAGGCTACACAGCTGAAGTGGAATGTCCAATTCTGCCTCACCATCCCTCCCAGTGCCCCCCCCATCGCCCCTCCTGGGACCATTGCTGTGGTGCTCAAGTCGAAGATGCTGTTCTTTGTAAGTCTCAGTGCTTCATCAGCTCTCTACAGTTTAGGACATGAGTCATAAACTGAACTGACTTTAATTAAATCTCTGTAGCATCATTTGAAAGACACATACCAACTTGAATCTGTTTTGTCTCCCAGTTGCAGTTGACCCAGCGTATCACAGTGCCCCAGGAGCCAGTGAACATCATCGTACCCATTGTCTACGATATGGCCACAGGCCTCACTCAGCAAGCTGACATCCCCAGGCAGCACAGTTCCTCAGGGGCTGCAGCGCTCATGGTTTCTAATATCCTTAAGAGGTTCAATGAGCTGCACCCCGCCAGACCGGGTGAGACATCACAGTCCCAGCTAATGAACACTGAATAATTTACTGTACTCAAAAGCTGTATCAAATGTTTTTTTTTTCTTTTCTATAATAGTAACAAAATGCCTTCTAACAGTGGCTGTTTTCTTTATATTTTTCTCAGGTGAGTGCACGATATTTGCTTCTGTCCACGAGCTGATGGCCAACCTCACTCTAGCCCCTGGCACTCGTTAGTAGAAACAACTAATTCAGAGCCACTACTGGAACTCAGCTGAAGCCCCTGAGAGTAACAGGAGATGTCACAACCCAGCATGAGTCCTCACTGCTTCAGTTGCTGGACTTCTGACCTGATGTGTAATTGCTGTGATGAAAGGGAGTAAAATGCATACAGCAGTGGACAGTCACTGTCTTAATCATCATAGAAGCTTCAAACAAGATTTGCTCTTCAAGTAGATCTCGGATGAGGGGGTCTATTGCTGCAGAAGGACAAATATTTTTTCCTCCAGGTGCACTTGTAAACAAAATGTCTATTGAAATTTAAGGTTGTTTACTAAAATGTATATTGTATATTTGAGTGTTGAAAGAAGCAGGCATTAGATTTTTGTTAGAGCTTTGTCTTTAAAAAATGCCATACTGATATCATAGTATCAGGAGCTATACTTCTTAGTACACTATTTAAATGTCTTTTTGCCTTTACTCTGTCAAGCTCTGCGATTTCAAACCCTGTGTACTGTGAAACTGTGGCAAACTTTTAAGTAAGTTGTATTTTATTAAGACCATTTTGATTCCTCACTGAAGGATTTGAGACATTTTGTCAGACTTTGCTATTTAATAAACCCACAGTTGGTTTGTGCTTAAACAATCCCCCACTGGAAGTGCTTACATAAAAAAAAAAAAAAGTAGCAATACGACACTAAAACTACGCAAATGATAAGTAAACTCTTGCTTCAACAAAAGCGTGTGCAAAAATTCTGAAGGACTGGAAAACAAAATGTACATGAAGAATCAAAAGTAGTACTGGTCAGCTCTTTTCAACACTTCAACTAATACTTATTCACTCAGCAGCTCCACCATGATTGACTTCATTTGTTTACATTTAAAACTTCAACATTTCAGACCATGTAAACTACAAATATATTAAAGTGAGCACAGTTTTCTGATTATGTAGTCTTTTTAGGTTATTGGTACTGATGCATTTAAATGTAAGCAGTTTTAAGTTGTAGAGGGTCAAAGTGGTAGTTTTCTATAATTTGGACTAATTTAATCTGGGCATTTTCAGCAATGCAGTTTCATTGACAACACTGAATCAGATTGTATAAAGAAGACGCTTTATTTTTATTGTAACACGTACAATGAAATTTTGCTTGCAGCCAAGGGGCCCTGGGCATTCGTGCCGCCATCACAGGCAACTAGGGGGGTTTTTTTTTTTCTTTTCGTTTTATTAGTGTCTTGCCCAAGGACACTTGGACATGTGGACTGCAGGCACCGAGATTCAAACCTTCAACCTTCTGGTTGGGAGACAACTGTTCTACCCACTGTGCCACTGTAAAGTGTCAAATAACTAAACATGAAATTGTTGCAATGATTTGGTTATGAGTTGATCGACTGAAAGTTAAACTGCAACAAAAAAGAAAATGCCATACATTTTCTTTGTTCAAACATCTTACTTGTGAGGATGTCCTGCTTTTTATTCTCTTGCATCATTGTGAACTGAATATCTGTGGTTAGGGTCATACAAAAACAATGTAAAGAACTGATGATTATTTTAAAATATTTTAGACATTATATTGCCAAATTAATTGAGAAAATAATCACTAGTTGCAGCCCTAGAAATAAGTGTTGTAGTAAAAAAAATGTCTTTTCTCTATGAAAGCAGTGGTTTAAAACTGTAAAGCAGTATAAAGTGAAACTAAAGCACCTTGAGTTAATGTCAGGTGGGTCGTTTGGTTGGTGCTGGTTTAAACCTGTAGGCTGCATCCCAACCAAGTGATGCTGGGCTCCTCATCCCTAGAACATGACATCATTGGGAAAGGCTCCGTCTCTGTGTCGGGGAGGGGGGGGCGAGGGGCGTTCACAGCAGTAAATCAGCCTGTGACTGCCTGACTGCTGTTGCAGAGGGTGTGGACATTTTTTAATCGCGTCAGTAGCTCCATGGATCCTCCCTGGGGTAATGCAGGTATTCATCGTTTTGCGGCTGCGTGTGGGAATCGTCACCTGCAAGAAAACGACGAAGAGACGCTGTAATGTCGTGTATTTAGGCAGCATGGACGTTTGACACTCGAATGCACCCTTCGATTGTTTCGACCAAATGCAATAAGATAAACACTAATTTGTTTTTGTCTAGCCTCGTGGCTTTTATCAGCGGGGTAGATTTAGATGAGAAGGTGTCGGATATGGCAGTGAGCATCACAGAGCCGGTCTGTCAGCCGTGTGTTTACCACGAAGCTTTCAAAGGTAAGTCCCAGCATCACCCGCTCGCCTTTCTGGCTGTGGAAGCGTTTTATGACCGGGGTAGATCCCAAGAGAGCAGAATGAGGGAGGTGAAGACTGTTTCCCCAAAGATAGCCTATATGCTTCCTCTTACGTTAATCCTATATATTTTTATATATAGCCCTATATATGGACGATTTTCTCTTAGTGTCTGGAATAAAGTTTGAATGAATAACCTTCACCCTAACACCCAGCCAGTCTTGTTTTATGATGCATAACCTGACCCCGACCTAAACAGTTACAGCTGCCTACTCTCAAGTCTTGGAAACTAGTGTTTGTGAAGGTGGTCCCCGACTTAACAACCTCTTGGAGGAGAGCCTCTGCCTCATCTGACCAGAGCAATTCAGTAAAAGTAATACAAATGAGGGGATGAAGGGGGAGCAGGGGTATGTCATACAGACCTACTGTTGTGGTTACTGTGTGGTCAGTGGAGCTACAGGTGAGGAGACCTCTGATGCCTCTCCATCTGAGTCCAGAGCAGGTGGGCCTGGAAATGCTGTGTCTCTGTGGGCAACTGGACCTCCTGATCAGGGCACAGATACAGCAGGTAGGGTAATCTGAGTGCTAAATGCATTATTTCCACCATTGTTGACAAAACCCTTATTTATCTCCTCCACATTCTCCCTAGTTTTCATCTGTTTCCATCTAAGTGATAAGTAAAACTTAAGCTCCATCAACAATTAGTGCCATCAGCTGAACCAATGCAAGCAAGCAGGAATCTTGGCAGTAAGATTAAACAGGTCTTTTAGCACTGGGAGTGCAGAGTGTTAAATGTACTAACTAATGGTACCCATAGATCATGCTGTATGAAAATGACAAGAAATGCACATGATAATGAGCTGATGTGAAATTTACATCTGTTCAAACTACAATGAAGACACATTGTCTATAATCTTTAGCCTTTGTGTTTTGGTTTATATTAGCTTTACATACATTGTTTGGGGTCCCACAGACACCTCTGCTATGTGTGTGTAAAAATAATCATAATTTTTCTTTATTCCTGACTGTCTTAAATTGCAATATGTAGAAAGGTATTGAAGGAGCAACCCTTCACTTTGCTGCATACTGGACTTAGGAGGGGTAGTGCTGTAGACAAAGTACTGTCAATACTAGTCACAGAGATAAGAGCATGACATTTACAGCAGTACTCACACTTCTCAAAGGCATTAGACTTGAGGAAGTCAGCCTAATTGTGTTATGTCTCAGTATTCAAAATTATATAAACTAGTTTCTGGTCTGTTGTGCAGTCTGTCCTACTGTTCACAGGCATTTCACATCATTCTGTGCCGATGTTCCTCCTTGTGTTTGGTGCCGTTATTCATAGTTTGGTTTTTCCAGTTCCAGGAGCAGTTAGGACAACGCTGCAGCCCAGAGGAGTCTGACACTTTCCAGGCTCAAGGTATGTGTGGCAAAGAATCAGAAGAAACTGACTTGGATAGCCCCAGAATGTCTTGACATTTTTGTGCTATATCTTAAAGGATCAGAGATTCTGGATCAGATGCTGCAGTGCCTTGAACATCTACCAAAGCCTATGCCGCAGCTGGAGGTATCACATCTGGCAGTCTAAATAAAACAAAAACCTGAGTTTTAGTCCATTCCATGAAATACCAGGCAAATTCCATCACATAGTATCACTGACTTCACACATTTCTTTAAAGAGCCCATGGCATGCTTTTCCTTGTTTTTTGACTTATCTACAATGTTACAACAGTGATTTCTCATCTTAGACGTGACCTAATGCTCAAAAAATGAGGTGTACGTATGTTCTAGTATTTCTATGCAGAAGCAACTTGGTTTATACATATCTGGCAAACTCTTGCTCACGAGACTTTTTATAACAAAATAAAGTATTATGTGATAGTTTAAGGATTTCCTTGAATGGTCATAAAATCCAGGCAGTTGCACGTTCATGACATCCACTGGTGCTGTTGTAAAAGTGGATTTTTTTGACTGCGCTTAGTTTTGTGAGTATATTTTACCTCCTCCTGCTGCACTGTGACCAGAGGATGTGGAGAAAAACACAGGGCCTGAGGTTATTGTATGTCCGGGAATGCTCCTGTACAGGGACTGGCTGTTTTACCTGACCGGGTCTAACCTACGAGCCTGTGAAGACCCCAGTGGCAATGACTGATCAGCTCATCAATGCTGGATTCCCCTGGAGCACAGTACTTGTTTGTTTTGACTGCTTGAGGCCAGTGTGTCTCCCACATGTGATGTATTGCTGGTTAACTAGTGGATTAATGACCCATGACATTATTGTCAGTACTACACTACCTGTTGGAATTAATTTCACTACTTTAGGACTGTATGTGGTCATGTCGGGGAAGATACAGCGACCACCGGTTGGATTTACCAACCTTGGAGCTACTTGAAAGGGAGTGATGTTTCCACTACTCGGTGAGATTTAACAGTAAGTTAAAAAAGACACACATCTGTTAATGCCTTGTTTCTGTAACATTAGAGAGAATTGTTGTAAGGCTGGAGAAGTTACTATGTCTGCATTATGCCAGTTAAAATATGGGGTTTCTCAGTCACCTGCTCTGTTTAGAGTATTACACATCTCTTGTCATCGGTACATATACCGCTGTTCTTTGGAGGACAAATTCATATTAATTAACGCCGTCGTGGTTTGCTGTGCTGTCCAGTTGCGCCATAACACCGGCAACAGGAACTGTGCACGTTCACAAACTATCCTCTCATTTTCTGGCTCTCTGATTCTGAAACAATTACAAACTATTTGGAATTATGAGGGGTGCCAAGCTAATCTAGAGGCACCCAAGATTAAACATTAAATGGTTGGAAATGAGCAAAATGAGCATGCCATGGACACTTTAAAGGTGCTTGAAATAAGAGGAGCTTTATTTTTTATTTATTAATGGTATCCTAGGGAAATTTTCTGGAAAGTGTGTGTTTTGGTAATTTTATGGAAAACTGTGACAAACTGGCTCTGAGACAGTTATTTTATTTACTGTAGATAGTTGGTTAGTTGGTGCAGTTGTTGATTTACACAGTATTAACCTTGAATTACTTGTTTATTATTGGAGACTATGACATATTTACTGTGCACTGGCTAAAGGATGCACTATTAAATGTATTAATCAATTGCAAGTGCATCTTTCCAAAACAATTTTCCCTTTAATTACTACCAAATTACATAATCCTTTCCGGGAAACCTCTTTGGAAATTGCTAGGAAATGACAGACAGGTAATATAAAGTATTACCAAAGAGAACAGGGATCTTAGGTACCTGTTAACTGCTGTATCAGAAATCAATTATTTATGTTTTTCCTTAGGACTACCTGGACATGGTGGGCCTATCAGTCATGTTTCCTCGTGTAGAGGTTTTTCTCATTCAGGGCAGCCCAGTGGACATGCTGGAGAGGCCGCCAATGGATGGTGAGAGTGAAAATATATCCCGTCTCCTACCACAAGGAAGAAACATTTTCAGTCTGTTATAGTTTATAATTACAGGATATGCAGACATTTTAAAAAGCTTTTAAAAACACAAGATTGTAACTGTAAAAAAGCATACAGTATTTCTAACTGAAAGAAACACATGTTGTGTAGTAATGTAAGCATGGACGTCCAGCACAAGCTGTCGATACAATCTGCAGTCTTGACACTTATCATGCACATGTGGATATCCTGTCAGTACACAGTAGCAAAGATGGAGAAAACACCCTCCGTGCACGTTAGTTACACAATCACAACAAACTCCTGTGTTTACAAAGAGTACAACTAATGTGAGCTAATGCTTCTGTTGCAGAATACCTCTTCCACATTGCCAGACTGAACCAGCTCCTAGTGCTGAGTCAACAGCTAGAAGAAGATATCAGACACCTTGGAAGTCATAAATACATTGCCCACCAGCTCTCGGTTATATATGTAAGAAAACTAAATCAAGATTTTCCACTTTTCAACTATGCTTTTCTTTTTTTTTCTGTATGTTTTCTTTGCACTAAAGGTTGCTGTATGCTTTTTAACGGCCCTTTGTTGCAGCAAGTCATCAGCTCTTTCAGGGGAATCCAGGTCTTCTCTGAAATCAAGAAAGATATCGAGGCCAACTTTAAACAAATGAGACAGTCTCTGGTGATGGAGGAAGGCTCCAGGCATGAACCACAGCTGGCTACTCGCTACATTAACTGGTGAGTTAAAATCTAAACCTTCAGTTGGCAGAGACAATGACAAATGCAGCAGCAATCTGATGACAAACATGCTGTTCTCTGTGTAGGATCTTAGAAGTAACTCATAGCGTAACAGCAGTGGTGCTGTCACTACCAGAGGAGCTGACTGAAGACCTTCACCAGGCCGTGACCTTTGTGTCCCAGTTCCTGTCCTGACTCACCCTAATGCTTCACTTTATGTCTATGAATCTTGGTGTTCTGATGCACCAGGCTTCTCCTGGAATGAACTGATTTTGTTATGACTATGAAAAGGTGCTACACACTTTGATTCAGCTGATTGTGGGACTGGATAAAATACATCTACAAATCATGGAGGTTTTTCTATCGCCCTTCTGAATGTGACCCATGTTAAACCCTGTGGTGAGTCGTATGTTTGGAAGTGAATGTAAGTTTGTTGAATCCCTCCTTGCACTACTGTTATAATTTTTTTTAAACCTAAAGCAAAATAATAAAACCAAATGCAATAGGGAGATGTTTTTGTTTCCTCCCTGCTATGGGACTGTTTATGCTTTCACTTAATATGTCTCCTACTTCGGGCACATGTGGCCATAACCAAGAAGTGATGTTTAAGACAGACCTAGTATTCAGGTAAGCACAGGTATATGACTGAAACCAACAATTCTTTTAATCCATTCATCTACAGACTATTTTCTCAATGTAAAAATATCAGAAAATAGTAAAAGTTGCTGCCATTATATCCCAAACCTCTGGATGATTGTTTCATTCACAGACAATCCAAAACCCACAGTCTGCAATCAGACATAACAAAGAAAAATAATAAAATGGTTGATCAACATTATAAAAACAGTTTCTTTGACTTCACTATTATAGGTGAAAGACTATGCAGTGAGCTCAGTGAACTTAGTTACTTTCCACCTCTCACTGTGAGGAATGATTACAACAATCACAGATGTTTTCAGTGCTCTTATTTGACAGACTTGGAAAATTTGTAAATCTAGCCTACACTTTTACCAATATGATGGTTAAATGGCTCCTCCTGCTGTTCAATCTATGCAAAATCTTACATCCGGAAATGCCATGACAGCTCCCTGCTGAATTAACAACTACAAGTCAGGTTAATTAAATTAGAGTGCTGTGGTATGCGCAACCAAACTAAACATCCATGAACCATGATCTCGACGGAAGGTATTTGTCACAATCTTCCGGGGGAGGGACTAAAGTATGAACGACCTTTGAGGCAACCCAATCGCATAAGTCCGTTTTGGCTCGCCAACCAATCAGGACGCGTTAGGCTGTCCGGTACCTTGACTGTGAGAGTCGGGGTGAAGAAGGAGCAGCACATTCGTGGAGATATTTGAATTGTTTTGTCTCCTAGCTTTCAGATTTAAATTCACACATCAGTGAGCTTCAAGGAAGAATGAGGAAATGTAAAGAATCCACGTTTGAAAAGTTAAGGGCGACTGACTTGCCTGATTACCCCTCAGTGAGTTTTAATCTTTGTTATGTTGTACACGCCTCAGGAGTAGTTGAGGAAATTACTGCTGATATTTCAGTGTAAAGACATATCAGATAACAAAGTGGTAAGACAGAAGAGTGTCTCTGTCGATTTCCTACTGTTCAACCCTGAAGGGCCGGGATACCACTGTGCCAAAGTGTCCGTGAGCAAGACTTGAACTCATTTCCAGCTGTTCTCAGTGGAGGTGACATGTTAATGCCAGCTGTAACGTTTCTCTCACCCAAGGGAGAGAAATATGTCATGAGTTTTGATGCGACCGTAGAACTCCTGTGAATTGATTAATCAATTCGTCGATTGACAGATAACTAATGTTTAAGCAAAAATCTCAAATGTTTGCTATTTCTGGCTTCTGTAGTTTTGAGCATTTGGTGCTTTCCCTTGTCACATATGATAATAAACAGAACATTGGTCAGACACAACATTTGAAGATGTCACCTTGGTTTCCTGAGAAATTATAACAGACTTTTTTTTCACAATTTACTGGTAATAATTACAGCAACCATCTCTCTCTCTGTGATGCAGGCTTGATATTAATTAGGATATTGGTAATGCAGACCACACTCTCTTTACACTAATTCTCAGGCCAGACATAGATCATTCTGTATTTCCAGATGCAGAGACGCCTTTCTGAGCCTGGTGTAAAGATCTGAGGAGGAGATGATAGCAGAGCCCACACCCACAGCTACATGCAGGCCCTCAGAGGAGACGTAAGCGTCTGCTACAATATATAGACAAGTTATCTCATTAGTTGTCTGTGCATCCTTGACTGTAATTTTTTTCTTGATGCAATCTAACTTCATGTTTTTGACATAACAGTGAGAACGCTCATGATGAGGCAAATTCATCTGGAGCTGTCAATCATTCAGAGGATGAGTCGGGGAATGAGAACAGACAGAAGGGTGTGGTAGGTAACTTCGTGGTGGTTTCACGTAGTTCCTTATCAAAATAGGCCTTTTTCATTGAAGATATTTGGACATGTCACAGCAGGAAAAGTTATTGCAGGGTTGGTTTGGACACTTTAGAGCTGAAACAAATGTTCAGTTAATTAAAATTTGATAGCAAATCATCCTATTTTGATAACTGATTTACAAATGGGCAAACATCTGATTTTAGAATTTTTAAATGTGAGAATTTGCTACTTTTCTTTGTCATGTATGATAATAAACTCAGTGTCTTGGATTGTTGAAGGAATTTGGAGATTTCACTTTGGTCTTTTGGAAATTGTAATTAACATGTTTCAGTGTTTTGTGACATTTAAAAAAACAATGATTAACAGAATCAATAATCTGTAGATTAACTGCTAATAAAAATGAATTGTTAGTTGGAACCCAGATCTTTTAAAATCCTCCTTAATGATATTTTTGCCAGTAATAAATTGCTGGTAGAGTGTGTTGATGCTTGTTAGTGCCCAGGTGGGGAGGGAAGTGAGGTGCCTGACTGATCACCAAGGTACTTTGTCAGTTCAGGATGCAGCACACTGGTGGAAACTCATTCATATGAATCATTTCTAGCATCTGTATTTTCTTTCTTATCTCTCTCATTTTCTTAACCCCTTGCAGAGAAGAAGGAGAAGAGCACACAGCGGCTCAGAGAATGTCAAACGCCAAAGTACCAAAGCCGGCTGTAGCAGTGTTAGCAGAGCAGCAGGCAGCCACAGAAAGAGGAGACATGTGGAGGCTGTCACGCTGTTTGAGGTGGTGACCATGGGCAGGAGTGCCATGCAGGCAAGACAGCTCGCCTCCGTGATAGAAACATGTTTTGACAAAATGTCTAAGAATGGGTTTACTCCTCTTAATTCTTTTTTTTTTTTGTAATTTGCAAGCTCTCAGACAAGCCTCCAATGTCTGTCTCTTTAGAATATTAATATAAATTCACTTGCTGTTATTTGAGCAGGTGGTGATAGATGACTGGATCGAGGCATATGTGACGGACAGAGATTCTGCTCTCCTCGATCTCATCAGCTTCTTCATCCAATGCTCTGGATGCAAAGGCAAGTGGACAGCACATATGCACATCTGCAAATTCCTGCTAACACACACACACACACACACACACACACACACACACACATATATACATGCAGAACACACAGACACAAGTCTACGTTTCTTTTCCATCTTTTGCAGGTGTGGTCACAGCAGAGATGTGTCAGAGCAGAGAATACAGCGATGATGTGATGAGTAAGATGGTTGAGGACATGGATGAGGTACAAGCTCTTCAGTCTTTGTCTCCTCCTGTGCCTCTTGTTGTTACAGCAGTGTTAACGCTTTGAACTAAAACTGTATGATGGTGTGTGTGTGTTTCAGGTTGTTGGTGTGCAGTACAAAAAGTTTCTAGCTTTTCCATGGATCCTCACTGTCACCTGGCCCATGGATACAGTCAGTAGTGCTGCTTCCTGTACTTGTCCTAACGCTCGTATATAAAGTAACTGATGTTTTAACATAAGTGCCAACTTCCAGTTATTGGAGGGTCTCATTTCTATTGAATTATCAACCTATGATGTGTCTGAAATCACTTGCTCATTCAGTTATTCCCCACATAATATTCCACCTAAAAACTCAAATGCACTCGTCTGTTAGAAGTCTACAATTCCATTGTGGAAGTTTAAATGCTTTGGGCACTAAATGTTTTCCAGGAATGATGTTTTTGACTCAGTGACTGTGGCTCAGTAGGTGGAGCAGGTTGTCCATTAATCACAGTGTTAGTTTGATCCCTGACTCCTGCAGCCCACATGCTGACATGTCCCTGGGCAAGACACTGAACCTCAGGTTGCTCCTGGTGAGTCAGGTCAGCCCCTTGCACAGCAGTGCCCTTACCCTCTGTGTGAGAGAGGTGAAGATTCTAAAGCAGTCCATTTACCATGATGTACTGAGTTCAGTGTTCCAGTGCAATGTGTTGTATTTCTGTCTCAGTTACTCTCACTCCCACCTGGAAGCTGTTTACAGACCGAGTTACTGAGCAGATGAGAAGTTAAAGAACCTGTTGTGAAACGAGTGGCTTGAGCTGGAAAACTGACACTTACTGTCTGTTACTGTGTATGTGACACTGCACTTTATCAGCAGTCACTGCAGTGCATACAAAAGCATGAGTTTACAGTGTTATACTACTTAATGATACTGTATTTTGCTCTTTTGTACCTGGTTTTTGTATCTGTTTCTTGATTGTAAGCCTAGCACTGAAAAAGCATAATTTTATACAACATAAATAGACATTGTTCTCCCCCTCTTGTCATTTAAGCTTTCTTTTTTCCCTTGTAACTCAACAGATATGCAATTATTTTAAACTCTTCTGTGATCCCTCATGGTGTCATTTTGCACCAATAAATTCCTTCACATTAGGAAAGTAGAGATGCTAAGTAACCGACCCTGCAGCTAACTTTAACTCCTTTCCTCACTCCCCCTCTCTACTGCAGGACAGTGTGGAGTATCCTCTCATACAGTCTGGACCGTATGGCCGCTGGTTTCACTCTGAGTTCTGTGACTTTGTGTCACTCCTGGTGGCTCAGTGTCAGCACAGCGTCATCTTTGACAGTTACCTGATGAGCACCCTCATCTCACTGCTCACAGAGCTGTCAAACTCCTACGTACGAGCCTTCAGACACACCTGCACGCTGGCAGGTAGGTGACAGAAAACATGCAAACACATACAGTAAATGCATCCAGAAGACTAATCTGTGGTCGTTGTGTACATCACTGATAAGCGGTGAAGCTGCTGAGCTCTCTCATCAGCGCGGCTCTGAGCCTGAGTGCTGGCATTGAAAACAGTCAGAAACTCTACGAGGTGCAAAAGACAAAGAAAAGCAAGCCACAGCTGGAGAAGACACAGAAGAAGATCACCGAGGTAAGACCTACCTGACTGTGTAGAGGGGAATTTAGAAGCTAATGTGAATAAGTCACGTCAGTGTCACTGTGTGGCTTCGGCGTGCTTTTCCTTGTGCCCCTCAGCTGCAGGAGAAGAGGACAGAGATAGAGAGCATGATGGACATTATCTTCAAAGGCGTTTTTCTGAAAAGATATTGGTAAATTTGCCTAATTCTCGCTGACATCGTGGTTCCAGCTTAGCTCTCCATGTGCATTTGACCATTATTTAACTTGGTGTTGAGCTGATTTTGTTTGTGCCCGTGCAGCGACGTGCTTCCAGAAATTCGCTCTATCTGTATGGAGGAGTTGGGTTTGTGGATGAAGCTCTACAGTTCTGCGTTTCTCAGTGATAGCTACCTCAAATACATGGGCTGGATGATGTATGACAAGGTAAACGGCAGCAAACGCACAATGTAACAAAATGCTATGTAGCACAAAAATAACACTACGACAGCCATGTTAATTTGGTGAATATTTTTAAAAAGCTTTACTGCTGTACATTGCAATAGAATGAATAAATGGTGTGTCTGTGAATCATCTTTCAGGTACCAGATGTGCGTCTCAAGTGTGTGTTAAGTCTGCAGGGTTTGTATGCAGATCCTCTGCTCGTGTCCAAACTAGACTTGTTCACCAGCCGGTTCAAGGTAACAATCCTGCTTTGTTGATGAGGAAATTTGTTGATTCACAAAACTATAAAAAAAATATTGATTAATGCAGGATTCAACAGACAGGTATGTGTAAGTTTGTGTGTGCTCATGTTCCAGGACCGAATGATCTCCATGACCCTAGATAAGGACACTGAAGTGGCAGTGCAGACCATGAAACTACTGGTTCTTATCTCTAAGTGCGTCACCTGCCTGTTTGTTGTTCTTGTTTCCAGTCATGTTTATTGGTTGGCTACTAATGTTTTTTGCATCAAACATCTTCTCAGAACATCTGATGATGTGCTCAGTGCGGAGGACTACAAGCAGCTCCTCCAGTTTGTTTACTCCTCACAGCGCCCTCTGGCAGCCACCGCAGGGGAGCTGCTCTTCTCAAGGTACGCTGAGCTCCACTGCAAAACAAACCAACAAACGTAGTTAATTAGTGTTTACCTGAATATTATTGCTCTCTCTCAGGCTTCTCGACACTGTAGCTCCTGCATCAGATACTCAGGATGGAATGAATGGGGAGGAGGAGGGAGCACAAAAACAGCAAACATTTGCTAGACTGAAGGCTCTGCTGCAGTTCTATCGGGAGTCTAAGGTGAAATCCACCAGCTGTTTCAATTAAAGCCGCTTGTTTTAGTAAAGAAAACAACACGGACTTAGGACACATTACAGCACATTATTAAAAGGTGCTGGTGTTAATAGTGCTTTAACACATCTGTGTGTGTGTGTGCAGCTGCATAAGCATGTGGTGTACCTGGTGGATAGTCTGTGGGACTGTGGTGGAGCTCTGCTGAAGGACTGGCCCGCGCTCACATCTATACTGCTGCAGGACAGTCCAGGTTGGAAAATGTCTGTCTTTGTGGTAGAGGAGGTAGGAGGCACCATTTACAGTACCTAGTGTTTAGCAGACGTACCCACTAGGAGGTGCAGCCATACTGGAGTGTGACATAAAGCATCATCTGAATTCCTTGTTTTTTTTTCATTGGATGATTCTAAAGATACTTTTTTGTTTTGTTTTTTTAGCAAGTCTGCTAGGGGTGTGATGATTCTCCAAAGGCACAATGCAGTTCAGGCTTGGGCTTTGTTAACGGATAAGGCTGGTCTTTTTCTATATTAACAGTATTTTCAACAATCCCCATACAGAGGCTAAAACCAACAGTGTTTGTTACGAATATCCAGAGATATTGTGCATCAGCATTTGACTCTCGCTTACTTCAGATGCTATAAAAAGTAATGGGCATTTTGGGGCAGCATTTAAAAAAATGATCAGGGTCTGCTGTTTTGTAATGAGGAGACGTGTCACCCAGTACAGTGGTGTGTTTCCCTGACATGTCTTTAATAGTTTTTGACAGACGTTAACCTGAGTAGAGGCAAATCATTGTTGGTTTTAGTCTCTGTATGAGAAATGTTGAAAATACTGTCAATAATACCGGCCGTATCCTTTTAATTCGCCAACATTTTGGAACACTAAAGAGAAGAACACTAAACACAGGTTACAAACTGAATAAAAAATTGTGATTTACATGTTATAGTGTTGTGTGAAATGAAAGAGAGAGAGAGAGAGAGAGAGAGCGAGGGGTCGCAGTCCTGTCTTCTGGTATCATGTTTTTATTGTTTCTGTATGGTATCGCGGTTTTTATCTTTGGTTCAGAACTGTTACGCCTCTAAAGTGAACCCTGATCAGCGTGTTTCAGTGACTAGATGATGCTGTGTTTTGTTTCCATTTAAGATTTGGAGCACATCTGTAGCTGTTATTTTATTACGTATGGTGTGTGTGTTTGTAGGTCTTACTCAGGCAGAACAAGCCGTGCTTGTAGAGATTTTAGTGGCATCGGTGCGTCAGGCCTCGGAGGGACCTGCTCTGGTCGGGAGGACCGGTGTGAGGAAGGTCAGTGGAAGAAAAGTTTCCATGTATGAAACTGTCCTGTTGAAATATAAGACAGTGATGAGTTTGGCATCACCTTAAATTTACTGCAGTACAAGTGTTGGAGCATGGGAGTTTGAAATGATAAAGAACTGTGGTTACTTCATGTTCCAGGTAATGAGCTCCAGAGAAAAGAAAACTCAGGTTGATGACTGTACTAAGTTCACTGAACATTTCCTCGTGGTGCTTCCAAAGTTACTGACCAAGGTGTTTGTTTATTCCACACACGTTTGTTGGATTTTTGCATTTATTCACATCTTTGAGCTGCAGTTAACTCCTGGGCATTACATTATGACAGTGTCTGTTTTCTGATGCTTTGGTAGTTTTCAGGCAGCTGGGACATTGTTGCCTCCCTGATGAAGATTCCCCAGTATTTCCTCCCTGAGTGTCCTCAGGCTGAAAACACACAGGTCTGCTCCTGACCTTTTCAACTTTCAGCATAAAATATATATCATGAAAAATGAAATAAATCTCTCACCTTTTATAGTTTTTTGTCACCAACAGTAGAGTGTTTGACCAAAGTAATGAAGTCATGAAATAAAAGTTGAAGTTTATTTTGTTAAGCTGAAAAACAGTGAGAAGCAGAAAATACTTTGTAATGTATTTTTAGATAAATTACTGGAATTACTAATCAAAAAATACTTTCTTCAGCACTGTCAATAGGGTGCAGCTGGTCTTTATTTGCCAAAGTTATTATTAACTGACAGATTAGCAGATTAACTGGTGTTGCTCTTATTCCTCTACCTCAGGTGGTGTCCCGCCTGTTGGCACAGATGGGAGCAGTCCTGGATCTCCACTCGGGCCCTGCTGTCCTGGAAGCAACGGCCCGCACATATCTCAGTCTCTGTGGGGAGGAAACGAGCTGGAGCTCTATGACCCGAGCTGCCAGAGACGCTCTGGTCCAGCGCTGGGTGGGGCAGCTGACAACACTGCTGGATGACTTGCTAAAGGTGAGGTGTACATATGGCCAAAATTATGCAGATGTTTGTATGTGTGGTTTTGTCCTGGTGAATTTTGTTGATTCGGGTTAGTGACAGATTTACAGTATGCCTGTGATGATCGTATTCACATCTTGAACATCTGAACAACAATAAAAGTTCACTTTTATTCCTTTGTTGTAGGGTGACAGTTTCTCTGCTGATAATGACAAAACTGGAGAAGTTTTAGCCACATTGAAGAAACTCCGAACTTTTCATAAGTAAGTCTTTCAACTTGTTCATAATAAAGTGTGAGCCATCAATCTTCTGTCAGTATACTGGAACCTACTGGCTGTAATTGTCTGGTAATGTCCGTGTTGTTGTAGCTGTCATGACCTCTCTCAGTGGAATCTGTTTAAGCTGCTGTCGCCTCTCCTGTCAACGGAGAGCAGCCAGGGAGGAGCGCCACCTGAGGTACCACCAGTCTGCTCGGACTGTAGCCACTGATAAGTTAAAGCTACTCTGGTTAATTTCTTTTCATCCTAGAGGGTCAACTGAGACACCAAACTGACATCATAAGCTGCTCCCTACTGCCCCTCCCATCATGTCCTATTTCCTAGCGATAACGTAAAAGACAGATGCCTGGTTGGAGCAAATTAACAAGATGCAGCCTCCAGTCTAAAACTAGTGTTAGCTGACTAACAAGTGAATATGTTGGACCAGTAGAACTCTTTGGTTACTGCTAATGTGACACAAAGCACTAACGTTACATTACTCCCAAATGAAAATCATCTTACTTCAATACAAAGGTAAAATCATGACCATCCTAGGTGACTAATGTTACCAAAACAAACGCGTTAGCTGTAGACGCTAACACATCCAGAAGGAAGAACGCCACATCTGAATCAAATCCGATGGCTTCTTTTAACACTCTCCAGCTGAACAAGTCAAACTGATGTTAATCCTGTCTTTGTCCCACCCTCTCTGTGCAACAGAACATGATCTCTTCAGTCTGGGAGCCCCTGTTTTATACTCCTCCACGGCCAGCTGAAATAAATACTAGTGTTTTGAAAAACGCTGTTCATAACCTTCACTAGGTGGCAGGCGGGGCTGATTTACAGGCTGTACTGGAACAACAACACCAGAAGGGCTGTGGACAGCAGTGTCATGGGGGTGGGGGGATGGGGTAGTGTAGGCAATGTGTAATGTCCCTTGACTTCTCTAAGTGATTTGGACTTTTTTGTCCACAGTTTTTCTGGTGTCCTTAGTCTCTTTCTCTCTCCCCGTTTGTGTGAAGGTGCTGCTGGAAGTACTGCAGTGTTCATGTTACTGCGTGCTCTGGTCACTCAACACAAGTCGGGAAACTCTCACCTCCAGAGTGAGTTACATCTGTTTTAATAAGCTCTCTTACCTAGCATGAGCATAAAGTTGTAAAATATTGAACATTAATGGAAAAAAAACATTTTATGTATATTCCCAAAATCAATATTCTATATTTTATAAACTTTTAAAACCAGTTTAATCCAGTAACCTCATTCATAATTTACATACTTTAAAAAAATGAAACAAAGCGACCTACAGTATGTTACATACACTACATACTCTCAGTTGTCAGTTTATTAAATACACAAAGCTAAAACTAGTGCAGTGTAATACATCGGTCCTGCAATGAATTCTCCCTTCATGAAGGTGATAATGTTCACTGGATTTCTGCAGAATGTTAACCCCTCCTCTAGAAACACTGTAGATAATTGCATAATTATACGTAAAGCAAAGTACAGAAATGCGGCACAGTTTGTCACACATCTGTTTTCGTGTGTGTGTGTGTTTAGGAGAAGGCTGTGGCCCAGAGGCTCCAGTTACGTCTGTTCTGTGAGAGCAGCCAGCGTTGTCTCTCTCACGCTGACCACAGTGTGCAGCAACAGGTGCAACAGGAAACACTAAATGATGATTTTAGCTATCTGGGCACCATTTCCTGGTTCTTCTTGACCTGTTAACTTCTTCTCATTTTTCCAATTTAGGCTTTTGTAGGTGTCTGCGACCTCCTGACAGCTCATTCCTACCAGTTCCACCTATGGGACCCCACCTCATTCGGTCCACTGCTCTACACTCCCAGTCTCAAACTGCAGAGGGCGCTGTTGACCTTTACATGCACACATGTCTTTGTTGGAGCAGACTGTGACAGTCAGAGCAGAGGTGAGGCCTCAGCCTGTTTCACTTTCATGCAGGTCTTAATCTGTATTGAATTGCAGACTTAAAGTCCCCTTCAGCTCAAAATGTGTTTTGCTTTTAATTTTCTTCACTCAGGTGTTTGAGCTTAGAATGACATATGTAGAGTTTGATACATGAAGGCTTGAGAAGGGGGGGAATTTTCTCTGTGCGCTCCGTAAATCTGAGTTTAAGACATGTATGTACGAGCGGGATTGTATGACACCACGGTTAGTTTGGAGGCCAGTCATGGATCAAAACACTTAAACCAGCATGGTACTGAAACCTGAACCCTCCAGTGCACAAATACTGAGAGAGGACATTTCAGTGAAGTATGAACAGTCCAGTATTTAATAGTTGAACCTTTTAAATGGAAAGGAAAAAAATCATATTCAGACTGTGGATGGTTTTTCAGTAAGGTGGAGGAGCTGTAGCAGTGATGCTCTATTGTACAGGTCCTGTATTTTCAAACTAATTACCTGGACGGTTTCAACATAAATTCCTAAAAATCAGCTGGTATTTAGCTCTTAATTACCAGGATATTTCCAAGAAAGGTCTATGTGGTTTAGTTCAGGTGATAACTAAACTGCATAATGTAGTGTCCATTATGTTATATGCTATGGAATTTCAAATTCTCAACAGATATATCTGACATATTTCGCCCTATTTTCCACCTTTAAGAAGTGACTCAGTGTGCACATTTTAAAAATCTAATTAAGAATTTTATTTTTTATTATTTTTCACTTGCCTGTGACATGGTTTTCGTTGTTTTCTCTAAAACTTGAGTACTTCGATTACAACTAAAAGTAATGTCCCCTGGGGGACTAACTAAATAAGATTATTTAGTTAGGTGGTTCCCAACTTAGGGGTCAGGTCCCAAAGGGTCATACATCTATGGGGCCTTGTACAGGGCCACAAAAAGTCTTTAAAAATTGTCATCATGTTTCTTCATGTAAAATCTTAAACTGAAAAGAAACTACAGCTGTAAAACAAATGCAGTGGAGTAAAAAGTACAGCCTTTTCCCTTTGAACAGATGTGGAGTACTCAAGTAAAGTACAAGCACTGAATAAATGTACGCTGTTGTACTCTGTAACAGTCCCTGGCCAGGACTGAACTGAGCATTGTTTAACTCTTCATATAAATATATCCATCTGCCTCGTGTGTGTTTGACAAACGCGTACCCAGGCAGTGCGCACGCCACCCACCCAGAAACCACAGTAGGTGGCGCTCTCACTCTACCAGAGCAGCATCCACTTTCCTGGGCCTCCTGTGTTCTGAGTGATTCAGTGTCGCAGCTCGCCAGGGTAAAACCACGCAGATATGAAATGCACAGCCACACATTTGGCTTAATAAGTCAGAGCTGCCTGCTGACTGTAAATAGGATCTGATTTCCAACCTGACCTGACAATTGACCCTCAATTACAAAGGAAGCTTTGTTAATATCCTCCGACTGAAACAGGTTGACTAATTTGTATGAGGGGTGATGGACTTTGTTATGCAAAGTGATGCAGCTTGTAAATCGATGACGACAGTGTGTTTTAAAATGAGAAAAACAAGATTAATGTGTTGGATGGGGGGTGTTCTCTTTGTGAAATCCTGCACCTATGAATTCATTCATGGCTGACTATAACTAAGCATTTTATTATATTTGCAGTAGCTTCTACTTTCAGACACATATTGCATCCAAATATGGGAGAGTCCAGGGAAGTCAATAACTGTCCTGGTGGGAAAATCCTGAACCAAATACAATATGGGATTATTGGTTTTTGAACATGTAATAAAACGCTATTGTTTTATTGGATTTGCCTGGTAACGGTTTTGTCATACAGACAGTGTTTTCTATTAGCTGCTGGATCAGAGATCACTCAGAGGGCAACGGCACCGAGTTAAATCATAAAATCAGGGCAATCTCTTTCCGTGAGAAAATTCCATTAACTCTGGCTCACCTCCGAGCCTATTTTATTAGCTCTGTGAAAGATTGAAGCCACATGGTGTCACAACCATAACTCTAGTCTTATGTTATCTTTGATTTCCACCTGCTAAAGCCATTGTCCTGAAACTAACCAAAACACTTTTCTGCCACGGCTTTGTTCTTTTCTTTCTGTTATGATTAATCACTCTTCTTACTTCGCCCCCTTCCCCTCCCCCCGCTCTCAACCACTTTACATCCAACCACATGCTTCAACTCCATCTGGCTCCCTCAGCCAGTAAAAACTCTGAGGTGGAGAGGCTCGAGGACCTCCACAGACGGAGAAATCTGCTTGCGGCCTACTGCAAACTGATCGTACACGGAGTGCTGGAGATGAGCATGGCAGCTGAAGTCTTCATGTACTACATGAAGGTAAAAGTTGTCTGTAAAGGACTAGTTCATAATGTGGGAAACACACATATTTGCTTTTCTGCAGAGTTACATGAAAAGATCATTGTTGTCTGCAGTGGTGAAAGTAACTAAGTACATTTACTCAAGTACTGTACTTAAGTACAATTTTGAGGTATCTGTACTTCAGTTTTTTCATTCTCTGCTACTTCATTCTTTGACTTTATTACATTTCAGAGGCAAATATTGTACTTTTTTACTCCACTATTTATTTTCTAACTTTAGTTACGTTTCAGAACCAGAATAATGAAAAAATACAGTATGAATATAAGACTTTACTGAACTCAGGCGGATAAATGACAAGCTACTTAGCTCATACTTTGGATTAAACAAACAAACTTTAGAGGTGCATGGAAGCGGATTCTGTCACCTTCTGACAGTCCCAGGCTGAATGCTTCCGTCTGGTTCCAGTCTTTATGCTAAGTTAATATAATCGGCCCCTGGCTCTGTCCTATGTATTACCATTATGCTCGAACTCTAAGCATCTGATTTTATGAAAATTAATTACCTGCCCATCGCTGACAAACCCAGAGCGATGTCTGAAAAAACTAACTGCTGTTCTGAAGGCATTTCCAGGGTCTCTGCTAAATGGGGAATAAAGTTTTACCTGTTATCTCAAAACAAAGATGGTTGCCAGGAATCTTGAGTAAACATTAAATATTTTATTATCAGTCATTCACTCGGTTATCTCTGTTAGGTTCACCAAGCTGAAAGTAATGCATTCTAATATAAAAGTTGTTATAAATTCTCCCTTCATGAAGGTGATGATCAGTTTTTATTAACACTTTTTTGTATACAAGGTTTGGTAGTTTAATTTATAAAGCGCTCAAATTATTGTAGTGGAGTAAAAGTATGATTTTTTTTTTTCCTCTGACATGTTGTGGAGTAGAGGTTTTCTAGAAAAGTAGTACCTAAACCAGAGCAAGTGAACAGTCACATTCCACCACTGATGTAGATATTGTCATAACTTTGAGATGTTGATTTAAATTTGTGGTGATTTTGGAGGCTGTAGAGCTTGTGCTGCTTTTAAATTATACAGCATGATACAGAGGAGTGGGTTTAACAGAATACATGTATTATTCCATTATAACAGACAACTATGGCAGTAAAATACATGTGGGATCGATATACTCATACTGTAGAACTCTGCAGGATTTTTGCATTTTGCAAAATATGAAATGATTCCTTTGAGGCTAATTAAGTACTACAGGTCTCCCAAACTCTCCTTCTTTGTCCCCAGTATTACAACGACTTTGGAGACATCATCAAGGAGACGATACATAGGACCAGACAGATGGATAAAGTAGAGTGTGCTCGAACGTTGGCGCTCTGTTTGCAGCAGGTATGGTCGCTCCATACATATCCCCCCCAAAAAAATCAACTCAGCTGAACGTCACTGACAAGGTTTTCTCTGTGCTCTCCAGCTGTTTGTGCGTCTTAAGAAGGAGCAGGAGCGAGGTGGCGGGACTCAGCCAGCAGTCCAGACCTTCACTTGCATCAAAGAACTGGCCAGGCGCTTCAGCCTTACCTTCGGGGACCTTGTCAAGTATCGCGAGTGCATCGTCATGATCCACAGGTCAGCATGAGATTGTTTCTCAGTACTTGAATTCTTTTTTATGGGTTTTTATGCTTGAACTGTGCGAGTCTGTTTGTTAATATTTACAGGAACAGCATAGAATTTGTGTTTCAAAAGCTTAGCCAGACCCCTGGCACACCTACACCCCCCCACCTCTCCTTCCTGACCATCCTCACTGAGTTCTCAAGCAAACTGCTCAAACCAGACAAGAAGACTGTGTAAGTGCTGCATGCAACACACCGTATTATTTCTAAAACCTACATATGGCATTCTGAAAGTCTAAACATGTCCGCTCAGGTTTTCCTACCTGCAGAAGCACACTGCAAAGCACATTACTGACCTGAGAGAGGAGTGCTGGCAGCCACTTATCTTCTATCGTGCCTCCCTGTTGGCTGCGGCTGAACTGGAGGATGCTGTGTCCCATGTTAGCTCTGATAAGAAGCCCTACCTGCTCAATCGCCCTCCCGCCTACAGACAAAAACTAGAAGGTACTACATTAAACAACACTGACTTTTATGTCATCATCTACACGTACCAGCTGCATCATGTGTGCATCTGCTTTTGTTTTTAAGGCAGCAAGTTCCCCTGTTCATTCAGTCCGACTGATTCCAGAGTAAGCGTAGCTCACAGGCCCAGCTTCAGTCAAAGGTGAGGCTCAAGAATGTTACTGCACATTCACATTCGTGTTCATAAAAAAAAAGTCTTCATCTTACTGTGACCTCTGCTCATTCCACAGCCATCAGAGGGCAACTGATATGGATCCACTTTCCATCCCCCTGGAAGCTCCTGCAAAGAGACTGGGCACTGAGGGATCTGTCCTGAGCAGCAGCAGTGAGGGTGACACTGTGGAGGTTGAACTGTAAGTAACGTCGGTGCTCCTGTATGGACAGCAAGACCCCATAAACTCTTTTGTACCTTTGTAACTAGTGTCAAGTTATTGTATGATTCTGTTTTTCTTACTTTTGACAAATCCCATGAAAAGACCAAAACCAGCAAGGATAGTTTAGCATGACCTTGCTTATTCTTCTGTATTAAAGTATTAAAACTCTGGGTGCCATTTACCTTTATTACCATAAATATAGGTATTGTATTTGAGAGTCGATTCCGCATACAACACGCTGCGGCCATACTCACTAGATCCAAATCTAGCTGTGAAAATAGTCTATGACAAATGCAGCATTTGCTCTTGTGTGAGTAATTTTAGCTAAACACTACAGTGCCTGGTTGTTTTAGGACAACTTGGGCCTTTAAAACAGGAAACTGTATTTCTATATTCATGTTTAAAGGTTTAGTAGGTCTTTTCATGGAATTTGCTGAGAATGACATATATATATGTGTGTATATATAATCACCAGCCCTATTCTTCAAATAATGTCGGTTTATATTTGAATAAGGTGAAATATGTTTCACTTACACTACTTCAATTTGAGAATGAAGTGTATCAGTGTGTATATAGTGTCTTCTTAACCAGCATAAGCTTCACTGTAGACTGTACTGGAATGTTATACGAAATGATCCATATTTTCATTTTTCCTCTGGATCACACTCAGGTATTATCCGGGGTCCATTAAGAAATACAGAATGCTGTCCTGCCTGCCAGGTCATGATTGCCCTGTATGGGAAATGATTGTGTTAAAGTAAGATCAAAAGAGATGTCCTGGTTCGATATTATGTACCATATCAGCACTGATCTGGGCATTTCCCACAGGATAAGTAGCAGCTAGATCCATTTCCGATCACTTTTAGAACTAGTGTCTTATATTTGAACAGACTCACTCTCATTTTTGAGATGTGCATCATGCAACCGACACGCTGCAATATTGATCGATCGGTAGTGGGAACCTGAAGCCTGGTTTTAGCTTCAGGTTCATTTTTTCGGAGCTATGCGTGTAAAATGCTCCAGTATAGCTCCGGTATAGACACAAACAACAAACCTCCCACAGTGTGCATGTGAGATGTTACTCACCGTGTACTCTGTGCTTTCGGTGTAGACATGCTGAGTTTTTATGCTTTTGTCCAGTGGTGCTACGACAGCTGCAACAAGGATATCTAAACTGGACTGTTACACAAACTGTGTTCACACATAGATATGAAGTAGTAGTTAGTACCTACCCTGTACTGAATCTGCAGTTCTGAGTGTGTCCAGCTCCCGGTTATTCTTTCATTCATATCAATAATTTAAGATAATAAACTTAATATTTTGGAACAGGACCTGATCCAGTATTTGGATCATGAAGCTCCTGAAAAATACAGTGTGTCAGATTAATTTCAGTTTCAGTATGCCAGCTATTTAATGAACATTTACTGTAGGTAAATATAAGTATTGGATTGGAATCGATAAAGGAGTCTGATCGGTATCTGGGTCAAAAAAAACGAACTGGGACATCCCTACTAGAAACTCCTTGTGTATTACTGTATAACCACAATTCCCCGGGCTGCAACATGTTCAGGTAACACTTTATTTTACATGCCTGCTGTTGCCTAATAATTTCTTGAACATTTCCTGTAAAGAACTGTGTACTTTGGTGCTAATTATCTGGAATTTACCAACCTGTAAAATTAAATGTTACCCATGTTCATTTTTAGCCTGTAAATACATGTAGACCTTGTTTCATGTAAAAATCATGAAGCCAACCTTTGTAACAGCAGCAGCAGGTATAGTATGTGACAGAGAGACCAACAAAGTGCTTTTTACATTCTGAAAATGTTTCCTGTGGTATGTTGCTGCAATACATTGATAGTACTATTGACAGTAGTATTGATCGACTCCCCAGCCACTTTATTAGGTACACCTGTACAATTGTTTGTACTTAAATACATTTAAGTACTTAAATATTAAATGTCTGTATTTTTGTCCTCACAGCTACATACATGAGAGGGTCAGAATATTAGGAACCCCTCGGAATATAATGTAGTCCAATACAACACCGCCTTTAACTATGAACTCAATAATAAATATTGGGAATAATTGAATTCACCAAAAACAAACATTTTTAGCTTCATAAACACATATGTTAAGGTGGAAATGTTGCACTGACGTGCATACAATTGCACAGGTGTGCCTAATAAAGTGGCAGCTGAGTCTATATCTGTAGTATAGTAAGCAGTTTTACTAGACAGATCTGTTGTCTTTACTCTTGCATTAACTTAGGCTTTATTATCACTTAAAGAAAAACAAAACATTTTAAAACTGGGTCCTTTGTTCTGTCAAAGTATGTTCAAATTAAGTACATAGAAAAAAGAATCTGTCTAAAACACTTGCCCAAATCATTTACAACACAGCAAGCACTAAATAAATATTTACAGTCATTTATAAATTAATCTCTAATAAAACTCACTCGTACAGTGAGTCCATGTCATAACGAACACAGCTGTACAACATCTAAACTGTGTGCTTGTGTGTGTACAGCAGGCTCCCTCATGACTTGTTTGGCATCCACAGGAACTTCTCATTGCAACAAATGATTTCTGAATTTACAGCCTTACAGAAAACCTTCAGTTGTGATCACTGGAATGTAAAATTAGCCAATGACTTCAGAGAATAATTAGTTCCAAACCTGAATGAAGTCAACGTGGTTTCCCTCCAACAGTTCAGAGAGCTGTAAAAATGTGCTTTAGCACATGTGAATGTGTCAACACAATACTGGCGGTGAGATGAAACACCACTCGCTCCAAACATTATTTATACTAAGCATTACATGCAGAGCACACTTGTCCTGTGTTAACATGTGAGGAGGGACAAAAGGTCTAAAACTTTAGAAATTGTCATGAAATTTTTTTTTCAGGTGAAAATATTCAAACATCTGGTACAGAGTTGTGGAAAAACTACCTTCTGCTCAGGCCACGTCATGTTTGGTTACTCAGCTGTGTCCATTTCTCCAGCAGTTCCCACCTCTCCAGTGCTCTGACAGTGTCCTCTGGCTTTGCGTTCACTCTGAAATGTGTCCCGTATGCAGGAAGGGAAGTCAAGTGAATCTCTGGCTTGACGCGATTCTATCGCTAACCCTGCTGTCTGAGCTGCTGGGATGAGGGTCATTCAAAGTTATCGTCATACTCATAATCATCCAGGTCCAGGTTGCAGTGAGGATTGGGGATCTCAAAGAGGTGTCTCTTTGTCAGACCAAGCTCACTGGAGATGTGCTGCCCTAAAGGGCTCAAAGGATCGTCACACCTATAAAGACACATGGAGAAAAACATCAGCAATAGATCACTCAGTGAGGCTAATTCATGGTGGCGACAAAACAAAGTGGCCGACGATGTGACTGAAACAATCGAGAGGACTGGTTGCTCTGGTGAATGTGTTAAAGGAATAGTTTGACAGCAGAAATACACTTATTGGCTTTCTTGGTGATAGTCAGATGAGGAGACAATACCTACTCTCTCATGCCTGTACAGTAAATATGATGCCATAGCCAGAAGACATTTAGCTTAGCTTGACATAAAGACTGGAAGCAGCTTTATCCAAAAGGTAACAAAATCCACCCACCAGCACCTCTATAGCTCACAAAATCTTGGATCCGATTTAAAAGCCCTCTGACATCAGTCTCTTCATTGATGAACACACTTATAAAGTTTTACTCTCAGAAACGTACACTCCTCTGCCATTTTATTAGGTACACCATATACAATTGTATTCAATTCAGTGCATCAGCGGTCCTCCCCAGCTACATACATGAGAGGGTCAGAATATTAAGAATACCTCTGAATATAATGTGGTCCAATACAACAACACCTTTAATTATGACCTCAATAATAAACATGTAATTGAACTTATACATTTGAGAATTTCACCAAAAACAAACATTTTGAGCTTTATAAACACAGATTTAAGGCAGAAGTGTTGCACTAAATTGCATAAAATTGTACAGGTGTACATAATAAAGTGGCCAGTGAGTGTACATCATTAAGAGGCAAGGAGTTGATGTTAGATTTTCACACAGTATCCAATTAATATCTGTAGACATCAAACAAAAACTGGATTGCCGATAGTTTTAGTGATTTGCATTTTTCTACTATATTAATAATAAAACAATATTTACTGTGCATATTTAGTATAGAGTCTCCTGGCAAGAAATAAAATAAGCATAAATCCCAAATTGCCAAAATACTCCTGTAAACAGAGAAAATTTTTTAACAGAGCAGGATCACTAGAAATAACAGAGGAGCACCACATGGAGATGTGGACAGAGATGGTGCAGGAGTAGAGATATTCGTTTTATAGTCAAGGAAAGATAAAAACAGAAACTGTGTGGTTCAAGAACAGACTCCTAGCCCTGAGACATGGCCACATACTGCACATACAATACTATGTAGGCAGACAAAACATCTATAGTGGCAACAAAAAGGAACTGAACCCTTTGAAATTACCTACATTTGTCTTAAAATATGGTCAGGTTTTCAACTAAGGAACAACTATGAACAAACAATCCAATTTATTAAAATGGCACAAATAATTTTGTCCATCCTGAACAGAGATAGTCTGATTTATAAAAAACAAAACATACAAACACTGAGTTTCCTGTTCAAAAGAAGCATCTGTAAACTAGACTTACAGCTTTGCTGTTGTATGCCTCTGCCAGTCAGTTAAATTCCTGGGAATGGACAGATAATGAGGTCACTGACCTTGACCCCCCCAAATCTAATCAGTTTATCTTTGAGTCCAAGTGGACACTTGTGCTAAATTTAAAGAAATTACCTCAAGGAGTTCTTGACATATCACGTTCACAAGAATGGACTGGATGGACGGAAAACCCGAAAATAAAATGCCACTGATCGTGGCTATCGCTGGCCGGAGGCATAAATACGAGGTCTCAGTAAGCTGCAGTAGACTACATCTTACTGAGGCTGTTCTGTGAGGAAGAATGGTCCAAAATTCCTCCTGAACTCTGTGCAGGTCTGATCCACAGCTGTTTGAGGTTGCTGCCAAAGGCATTTGACAGGTTATTAAAATCGAAGGGTTTACTTACTTCTTCCACCAGCACTGTGTTTACTGGATGTGCTCAGTAATGACATGAAAGATTATAAATGCTGGTGTGTTTTTACCGTAAACACATTGTGGTTGTCTGTACTTGTGACTTAAAGACCAGATCACATTTTATAACCAGTTAATCCTGAAAACCAGGCAACTCCAAAGGGTTCACATACTACTTCTTACCACTGTATCTGTGGAAATCAGTACTCTCAGACTGGCAGGGTGTGGGTAGGAGCTAGGAATGTGTTTATTGCTAGACTCGCCCAGTGAGGAGGAGGAGGAAGAGGAGGAGAAGAACAGTGCCTGCTGGTACCCTGAATGCCTTACCTGTTCTGGTTAGCAGCCTGCCTTTAGAGACTCGTGGTGCTCCTAAAACCGCCACACAACATACCTGTCAACATCTTCATCTATCACTGACTCACAGGGGGCTCTGCTGCTGGACATATTCCTCAGTCTTAGCAATGACACGGCAACACAAAGTCAACCTGTCTTGAGCCATTCTTACAACTACTTCAAAACCTCTGTGAGCATCGGCTGTGTACATCAACGCGTGTATGACAAACTCCTAATTATAGCAACATATAAGTGAAACTTTTAAGAGCAGCTTCAAAGTGATCACATGAATATTCCCATGTATGTTAAGAGCACAATAGCCAATCAAAGACGAGGACGCCCAGACATCTGCATTTTACCAGAAAAATATTACTGCAAAATAAAGGTTCAGTTTATTTGTCTGAGATCTTTTATCACAAGTCGCTATTTACAGGTGAAATTAATCTAATACAATACTGACAATAGCTATACAAGGATATATGAAATTAGCTCAGATGGACAAAACTAATAAAAGCAGTTAAGAAATCCTAAATTATGGATGGGAGTGAATGATTTTTACTTTTGTCTTTCACTTAAGTCCAAACTTTGATGATTTTTTTTTTGTCTGAGGACTTACACATCGTTGCACTGGTCGCTGGCAGCTTCTTCTGCCACCAGGATGTCGTACTCCTCTGCAGCATATTTCTCCCAGTCTGAAACTTCCTGGTTGTCTGTCTCCACCTCCTGAGAAATGACAAATTACATGATACACTTGACCTCTGACAGGAAAACAAATCATGATACCATCGCACATCTGGTCGCATCCTCTCTGGGTTTAATCTTACCCTTATAACAGAGAAAGGGTCCTTCTGCTCGTGGTCCAGGTACTTCTCAATGTTGAAGAAAGTGTCAAAGAAGATGTGGGACATTTTGCACCTCTTGAGGTCCCGCAGTGTGATCTTACCTGTTGAGGTGAAACAGCGTTGCAAAATGACCTACTGGCAAGGGTATTATCAAACTATATCAGAGTTTTTAGCCTGGTTTTTCTATCCAATCTAGCACTCACAGTTGGTTGTAGACTTAGCTGACTCAGTAGAGTTCAGGTTTGTGGCACAGTTGGCTTTGGTCATTTTATAGAGAGACGGATTAAAGATGTCGTCTCTTGCTAATGATAAAACTACAAAACAAGGTCCCAGTATTTCAAACTAGGACTCCAACTAATGATTCTTAATCAATGTGAAATTTTAAGAACTGTTGAACTGGTGTGTGAACCTCTGAGTGCATGTAAAAAGTCTGACCTTCAACCTCAGGCTTCACAAGGTCAAGCATTTGGCAGAGGCAGTCCTCAAAGGGAAGGGGCTCAATAGCCATAGTCTCCAGCTTCTGACACTGTTCCTCATAGAAGTACTCCAGCTCATACATGCTGAGAACCCCATCCCCATCCAAGTCCATACAGCGGAACCAGTACTCTATACTGGACACAGATGAAGAGCATTGGCAAGGGATGCATGTTAGCAAAGACACAAAAGTTATATGGAACAGAAGATTCAGTCAGTGTGGCTGTAACATATACTACTTCCTGTAGTACTGCCTGTAGAGTAGGCCTTTTTCACAACAGATATTTTTACTTGTCATAGTGGGAAAAGCACAGGTGTTACTAATGACATTAATGATGGCTGTTTGACAGTGACCCTCAAACTGAAGCAGCTGAATGAAATTCAGCCATCAGTTATCTTATTATTTACATAAATGAATTTCCTACCATCACATTCTAATGTCTGTTTATAAAAAAATTTCTCTGTGGAGAGCAGCAAATTAAGATTTCTGACACTCATGGATCATCATTTTGTCGTGTCACCTGACTAATTTTCACTTCATCAAAATGCACATAGCAGGATGCTGGCAGAACGTAGTGTACATGCCATGGACACTGTCACCACACTACTGCCTTACTCAAAATGTTGGACCACAAATTCACTGCACTATAGAGAAAACGGTGATTTCAGAACACAGTTTGTCTGGACACCTGGTGTCAGTCTTCTTGTCCTCTTCAGAGATGAGGAACCAGACAAAATCGGCATAACTTAGCCGCCCCTCCTTGTACACTCGTCCGTCCCTGAAGAATAAAAGGCAAACGGTGTTCAAACCCATAGTGAACCAAAAACATAATAAAATAAACCTTTTCTTTAAAAAGGTTTGCCTCTTATAATAAGCATCATTTAAACTCATGACAATTCTGACTTACCTTGTCACTGTTCCTGAGAATATTCTCTCAATCATCTTATGTGAGATGGCTGGAAAATATAAAGAAAAAGATGACTAAAATTCAGATTGTTAGGGAAAAGAACTCTGTCAATGTACAGTTTTTTCCCCCCAACACATGTAATTCATTCTCACAGACTGGCTAGTCCAGCTCGCCAATGCCATAAATCCTGTGGTCATCATTTCGACCATGTAGTGGTAGAAATAGTACCAGACATGGCGTTCTTGGAGCAGTATATATGTGCTGCACTCTTATCGATCTTGTGTCCCATTTCCCCCGTCTCACTTACAGAACATCAACCAAGAACATGTGGTATGGAGTGTATGGGTCTTTTTCCAGGGTATGTGTTTGTGTGTGAGCAGGAGAACTGCACCAAATAATATTTACAAATACCTGTTATTGTTACATAGTTTTAGCCTACTGGCTGTGCCAAAAATACGAGAACAGGTAAAAGAAAGCTAATTTAGTGTGCATCTCTTTTCTTCTGACAAACTACCAGCTGTCATTCTTTTGTCATTTAGATTTTTTACAATAAAATGAATCTACAATTAAAACAAATACACAACAAACTTAAAAATGGTTAAATTGAGCATCTCATTATAAAATAAGAAATTCCATCCACCTGGTAGACTCTGCAGAATACAAAGAATTCTGCAATACATCTTTAAAAATCTTTTCATAGTTTGTGGTTTGGTGTACTTAAGACAGTATGGTGTGTTTGCGCACCTTGATCATTGTGCCGTGCCAGGTCTTTCGGATCTATGTAGAGGTCATGGTCTGTGTCTAGCTCCCAGAACTTACAGTAGATGACATAGAAATGTTCATAAGAGAAGAACTCTGTCAGCTGGTTCACGTCTTCTTCCTGATCCAGCAACGCCACATTCTGGCACAGCAGGAAAACAGTTAAAGTCAAAAAGAAGGCTAAATTGTTGTATGATTTATTATTAATCACAGGCAAAAATCATTACAAAAACCGTCCCTTTAAATATCCATCAATTTATAGACTGACGTCTCAGTTCAACTTTGATTTGATTTGTTCTTTCAAACATGTAACAGTCAATATGTCAACACACATAATTCCACACATATCAACAAGTATATTATCAATTTGCTTATACCTAGTACATGCTTGAACGGAGTAGGAAGAAGTTAGACTTTGACTTACCATCCCCTACTCTTGTTGTAGTTGCACACAACTTTTCCAATGAGGAATAAGGAATCATGCCAACATGGTGCACTAACCTGGATTGGTTTTGTTAATTTGGCTAAAATGTTGCTTGTTTGGTTTTAAGGAGCTTCAGCTTCAAGTAAAACTGTCACTACATTTTAATGCAAATGGAAAACAACACACAGGGAATTAAAAATGTAAAGCCATACCTGCAGAAAGTTACTTTTCCTGAGCTCTGAGCAAGTTATTTTTCCAGTCCATGACCGGTTCACATTGTAAAATATCCTTTGAATTACCTGAAAAACAGATGATATTGTTATCATGTACAACTAAATAATGCAAGAGGAAAAAGTTGTCATTTTAACATTTCACTATTTGTAATTTTGCAGTAATAATATTCTGTTGTATGTTATGTTAGAGTACCGTGGTGATGTATCGTGAGTGGAAGTCTGGTGCCTCCTTTAGAAAGGCCAGGCCTGCGTGGGAGTTCACCACATCCTGAAAACAAAGTAAAGTCACATCACTCTGTTTCTACTGCATGTCTGCCTCATTTCCATAACAAACCACATAAAACTAACAAACACAAATGCAAAAGAACACCTCAGAGACATTCTATGCTACAATAATAGATGCATATGTTCAGTTAAATTCTGCAGTTACTTTCAAAGTTAAATGGCACTGCACGTCCTTCTATTTGCTAGACAGAGCATGAATATAAACGCAAACCTCAGGAGTTGTCAGTGTCTATCTACATCACTGTGTCATGCCATGTGCTTTATAAACTGTCATACATATATATATAAATAAAACACCCAAACAGGCTCCTGGCCTGACCTTGCTGGGAGAAGCCTTTAATTTTTTGGAGTTAAGAAACACTGGGTCGACCGGTTTTGAGAGGAGCTTAAGCCTTTCTGATTTGACAGCAAGATGGTGAGGAGGCCAGAGGAAAGACATTTGCTAGTGACTGCTCTTAACCTTCTCACCTCCTTCACACCGTAAAGTCACAAGGGGTGTGCTGAATTTCAAATGAACTAGAGTTATATTCTTGGTTCAAAACTCCCTCACATCTTTTCTTTATTCTACCCCTTTCCCTTTTGTGGGGTAAAGAATTGTTGACATAAATGCGAAGGTGGCAATGAAATTAAAAGGCCTTCTTTCAGGGCAGCCGTCGTGCCTTTTGACTCTTTCTGTGAAAAATTAAATCATAGAGAAACACATAAATCACAGGGCACAGGAAACAGGCGGGGACAGTCAAATCTACTCCACTGCAATCCGCCTTTCATTCATCAAAACAGTCAAAGACGATTCTCCACGCGGAACCATACAAATTAAACAGTGTGTGCCGCAAAGCATCTCTGCTAGTATGCTAATTGGTGTTCAGCACAGCCCATTCCTGCCAGCATGAAAATGAATCAGGGACAGGGTGGGGCTGGTGTAGAGCACCCACAGCTTGTCGGGCTGTGTGAGAATACAAATATACCAGCACAGCAAGTCCACATGGTAAGACTGAGCACACAGTCAATAATATATATACTCTTATGAAACAATCTGATGAATCTGTGTCTACATTTTCTGGAATTATTTGGGTACATGAGACATTTTATTCTCCACCTCCCTGTGGTTAATTTCTGCTGAGTCTGAATCCTGCACCACCGGAATCTCCCCCTTCATTATACTCTCCTCCACTGTATATTACTGGCTTACAGTAACATCCCTAAATTAGTTCACCACCACATGAAAAAAAAGCACTGCTTCAGCAGGGCAGTCCAAAAAATTAAGTCCAGTTTGCACCATCCCAGCCAATATAATTTTGCCATCCATAATTGCCAAGGCCAGCTCTCTCTCCCTGGGTGTGCTGTAGCCAGTACCTGCAGGAATGGAATAAAGTCGTCTTGTTCCAGGTAATTACAGCCAGGCTTGGCCAAGAGGTGCACAAATTTAGAAGCGTCATCGTGACAGGTCTGCAGAGTTCTGGAGAGGAAAAAAAAGAACAGATGGTTGCAAGGTTACTCCCTCTTGCTCTCATATCCTCTCTATCAATCACTCTATTAGCAAACAGAAAATTTCATTACAAGTGTGGAGTATTAACATACTGATGGAGAAATAATGAGAGTGTCTGTTGTGGCCTCTCATCCAAGAAAGGCTCAGTCATAAGCTCAAGTCAAAGGCAGTGTCTGTGCAGTTCTCAGGAGGCTCACACATTAATACAAGAGCATGTCTATCGCATACAACGGCATTCAGTACACAGCCACCATTTTAAAAGCCCTATGGTATTCCTTTCAATATCATGGAGAAAGACGGTAAATGGATGTTTTAATTTATATACTGTATAAATACAGTGACTATTCCCTTGTGAGGGTTTTGTGGGGCTTTGTGATCATTGATTTCTGTTTAGTAATGAAAAGGAAAATGTCATAATAGCAGATAACTGGATACAGTGTCTATGATCCTCAGCAAGTGGGCATCATTGTTCAGAGGAGATTTTATGGGTCATCTGGCTGTGAGAGAGGGTACCAGTGGTCTATTGAGAATAAGAGGAGCTATTGTCTTACTTTCGCCACATAGCCACCAACTTGTGAACGGACACGAAGCCCGTCCTGTCGCCTCCAGCAGAGTTGAACAATGGCACTTTCCAATAGAGGGGGCACTCACAAGCCTGAGGAGACAAGGGAGCAGGAGAGATGGAGTAATGTGTGGCGTGGAAGAGAGAGATGGATAAAAGTTAAATGAGCAAAATGAGCACGCACGCGCGCGCACACACACACACACACAAAAGACATCAGATGCAGAAAAGAACATCATAATGACACTGAACTGAAAAGGAGTGATGCATCACTTAAAGACATCCCTGAGGAAACCTAGCTGTTATTTCTCTCTTCAGTCAGGTTCCCCTCAGGCCATTGCTGCACTCTTCAGGGAGGTCATATTTTCCATTTTAAAATCAGCAAACATAAAGTCAGGAACTAAACAACACTAATGAAACTAATTTACTGAATGGCAGATGAATCTCCATGCTACAAATCACATTCTCACCTTGGCAACCTGCCCCATGTCATCAATGGTGGCCCTTTCATTTGGGAATTGAGAAAATATTTTCTCAATTTTGAAAATGAGGCCATCGATGTTGAGGTTGGCTTGGGGCCGGCCCTGTGGGAAGTAAAACTTTGGAATGCTTTCGCTCAGCGCTGTGGTGACGGGCTCCTCTGTCCTCACCTGGGCCTGAGACAAAACACACAAAAATAAAATGTTAACCACTAATACCGGCAAACACTAACTCCTCTCAGCTCAAGCATTCTAGCATGCGCTAAGGCTCACCTCTGCAAGTTCTACACTGCTAGCACTCATGTAACCACAAGTCTCAGTGGCCCAAAGGCCTATCAGGGAAGACTTGCAATTACTCTGCAATCATAGTCATTATCCATTTATCTGTAATAGACAGATAAATGATAGAACTGTAATAGTCCTGTGATAGACAATCCTAATAGACTATGATTCTGTTATAGATTTCATTTAAGGTACAGCAACAGTACAGTTATTACAGTGATATGTGTAGAATGGTTTGACTGACAATTGTTATACATCACCTATATAAAGTCATCTACTGACAGGTGTACAATTCTATTTTCATATGATAAACACAAGTATTTGAACATATGCAAATGGGTGTATTGGGATAACCTGTGTTAATCAAGTTCAATTATTTTGGTTTGGCATCGTAAAAATAAATGAGTAGTAGTAATCAGCCATCTGATCTGGAAAATGATCATGAACATTAATGTGGCACCACATCTGTGGAGGAAAATGTTTTGGTGTTTAACAGCACAATCTGTGATATTGCTGTAGACAAAATGGTAGGTGTAAACAAGAGGCGAGACAACCACACAAGACAACCACCAAATCTGAATTACTCACGTTTTCTGATACTATTAAAGACTTCCTTTTATCAGCAATACCAGAGTACCAGTACCAGAGTCAAATTCCTTGTGTGTCCGACACACCTGGCCAATAAAGCTGATTCTGAATATTTAAAACAAACCAATATTTCCCAACCATCAGCTGAGGAAAACAGAATGTTTTGTTTTTTTCTGCTGCAACAATTAGAGGCTTAACTAAGTAGAGGATCAATTATTTATTTTTCCAGCAAAACAGATAAGGGTTTGCTGGTTTCAGCTTTTTCATTAAAGGTAAAATAAAGCATATTTGGATTATGGAGTGTTGGCCAGATAAAAAGGGCATAATTAATAATGATTTCATAAAAATTTAATTTCACTTCAAAGTGAAACTCTTCATGTCATGATCCATTTTAATAGATTTATAAATTCTAGCTCAAAAATACTGACTGAGCTATTAATAAGTTAAAAAAAGTTAATACATTCCTCTTAATGAGCATTTGTCTGGAAACAAAACCACAAACTCACAGCAGATACAGTATTTTAACCTGACAAAGCAGGAAAACCCCATGCCACTAATAACATTATCAGTGGTTCTGTCACAGTAACCATGACTGATAGTCTCTCTCTCAGGGCCCTGGAGCTGACACACCTGAATAGAATAAGAACAATATTCCATTACATCCAATGCTATTCTAATTATGCTATGCCAAATGTCTTCTATTAAAAAGCTTAAGGGTCAAACATGTTCTATCATTAGCAGCTGTCTAGATTTATATTTAGCAAAGAACAGTCGCAAACAAATGTGCACCACAAAAAGAAGGAGCAAGTAAACAACTGAGCCGATAGTAAGAGCAGGACCATCTTGGCTAAGTTCAAACAGTGTAGGTGATTACAGGCAAACAGTAGTTGTCAATGACTGCACTGGAGACAGGAGGGGGGTTGGCATGTGGTTAATATGTGTGTTAGGTCTGAACGAAAACACACACATGCACACACACTAGAGGTTAAGAGTCAGTTAACCTGGAGCCATTACTGGAAACAAGCTCAGTTCTTTTATCCCCACTTTCTGTACCTGACCAACTAATTTCTCATCAACACTAATTGATGTCATTGTCATTGCACAGTGCTGCATTTCTCATCAACAAACTTTTTTATATGTCAGAGCTTGCACACATGTGTGCTGTTTTTACTACTTCTATCTAAGACCCAAAATAATAGCTTTGCATGCCAGAACAGTATGTGCTATGAAGAGCTATAATCGTGGCAGGGGAAACCAGTGTATCTGTTTAGGACCAACAATAATTACATCATGCAACAGTGGGCCCAGGCCTTGCTGTCATGATAAATGTGATTCCTAACCAGTATGATTTACTGCACCACCTGAGCACAGCTGGCATACTACATCTGCATCATGTGTCTTGCTGAGGATGATGCTACAGAGGACATGGACCAATGAAGAGATTTTCATAGCAAAACATAAAAAGCCACAATGCACTGGGATCCAAATGTGTTATGTTGCTCATATCAGCCAGATACTAAAAACAGCTTGAGCAGACCATGCTCATCTCATATTCAAAGACTATTTACATGACTCGAGAATTTGCTAACTGGATCATTCCCTTTAATAATCACATAAACACACCCACACAGTCATCTGGCTGAGGAATAAAAATACCATCTTGGTGTTGTTTTGGTCCTAAACAGTTGTCCACACCACTGGTTAGATTTGGTAGTCTAGCATAACAATAGATCTGCAACAGTAAAACTTTTAACAACATGATTCAAACCCTTAAAATTACAGAGGTGAACATAAGGGAGCTAAATCTAGCCATGTCCATTTTTACATGTATGTATGTCAGCATGGACTGAAAGGGTTTTGCTGAATTCTATCAGTGGTAATCTGCTCATTTTAGCCTGCTAAATGATAAATGTCACCGACCCTCTGGTCTTCTGTCCTGTGTGTTGGTGTCAGTCATGGCTATAAAAGGACATAAACATCTCCTGTTGCCATACTCTGCACCATCCTCACTCTCTCTCTCACTTCATGCTAACCACTAGCAGAGCTCTTGAGCACAACCACTAAGCCACATGACATTTTGCACATTCACAATGATGTGGTCTGGGAGAGGACAGCAACATACCATACAGGCTGAAACATCATACCATCATCATAACCAACACTCGCATCTCATATTGTATCTCTCTGTATAAATAAAATAAAAAAAACAGAAGTAAATCACTAGAAAATGGATAGTATTGTGCAACAGTTGTAAATCACATGATACAGTAGTGCGTTCAAGTTTTAAATATGCCTGGAGAAAGTTATTCAAACGCTTATTTGCAAGTGGCTCCTACGAAACCTACAGTTCTACTCCATAGTGATTAATTAAAAACAATGAGGAATATGTATAACTAGTGTACTTTAACAGTGGCATGTAACAGAGCCTATGGGTACAGTGCAATCTTAATACCAAGACAGTAATCCTACAAATACACCAGTATGGCTAACAGGCCAGTAGAGCCTGTGTGCTAGAGGGTACATTCACACAAACACCTGCCTGTCCTTGTTGGAAAGCTCTGAGCCTCTTTTTGAACCGAGAGGGCAGAACGAAGTCACAGCCGCGTGCCAGCAGAGCCAACTCCTTCCTCAAGTCAGGGTCCTGACGCAGAGACAGCTCCCTCATCCTCATCCTCATACCAGACAGGATGGGGAACACATAAACAAACACAGCACTCAGTCCAGTATTATCCGTTTGACCATACAAATCACCCAGCTGTGGTACTGTGGGCAGAGGGCAGCAGAAGTCCTCTGTGTCTGTGTCCCTGTGACTGTCCTCTGTCAGAGTGGAGAGCTTCTTAATGCAAGGGAGCAGCTGCTACTGTGACTCTCTCTCACTTTCCAGATCTGGATACACAGTCTCTGCTCTGCCTGCCTCTCTGTCCCAGGCTCTACACAACACATACAAACACACACTGCACAGGGTCAGAGAGCCCTTGCCTCAAAGCTGCTGGGGAGATAAGGAGTGAAGGAGTGTATGTGTGTGGGCGTCACTCAGTGTATGTGTGAGATGGGAGGGGTGTTTGTGAGCAATGGATCTGCCCTTTCCAGTTTGCATTCTTCAGTGCTTGTGAAAGGTTATGTAAAGAGACAGGCCTGTTGTTGCAGCTTGTAGCAGCCACAGAGGCCAATTGAAGGATGCACCTCAATATTGTGATGACACACTGCTCGTGTTCATTAACATTCTGAAAATCTCATACTATCAAATACTTCAGAGTACCCTTTCTTGTGCTCTGGACCCTGAAAGAGGACTCTCGTCTTTTGGACAGTACATAAAAGGTGCTAAGGGAAACTTTTAAAATAAAACCCCTTAAATCACGTCATTTAGCTAAATCTGCCTAAAATTCTAAATCACATGAGTAGCATGCAGATAAAATTTACTTAATGAAGCAAATGAAGAAAGTAACAAAAAGGTATGACTACTTAACAATAGGTCAAATTATCAGATGATACACAATTGACTACATTCATATATTCAACTGTTTTGCAACTGATCTTATGGTGGAATTTACTTTACTTTGCTTTGCAAGCTTGGACTGCCAGCCATTGCATATCTTATTATAGTTGATGGACAGCGGGGGTGGGTACATTAAGTTCAAGGAATGATGACCAAACCAGTCTGCGCCTATTAAAAGCACCAGCAAACACTGTTTGGACAATCCAAGAGACTGGATCTGGAGAAACAAGGGTGTAGCTTTAGTCCTCAAACAAACATCTGCTTCTAGTTGCTGCTGTCCTGGAGCGATGGCAATTACATCAACGCTCAATAAATATGCTGATCTAACAGTGCTTGGATTGCTTTCACAACACTGGCTACACACAGGGAAAACAAACACCTTTATACCTAGTGATGTAAATGTTAATTAAATAGAAATTGTACATGTCTGAATTAGGTTGATTACAAAAATAAACCATTTCTGTATGTTATTGTACACAGAAGGTGAAAAGCACACACACCTTATTTTTAGTAGTCTACAGTTTTCCACTGGTTTCTGCACAAACCCAGTTCCTGTTATCTTCCACACAGGACACTGCACATGCATGATAAGCTGTTTGTATGGTGGTTTTTCCACATGAGCTGCCTTTTATTCATTCTCATCAACTCAAACCAAATATGGAAAAGAAAGCACCCTAGCCAAAATAAAATCTAGTAGATCACATTAAACTGTCAGCTCACATGAAACACTAGCCTGTATGCTTTTGTGTTTGAGCAAACAAAATCGGAAGTTCTATATACAGTGGTATCATGACACAGAAGGGATAATGATGTGTTGGTTTACATATTTGGAAACATCCCCACTAATGTTTTAAAATACAGGCACACATGGTGAGAACAGCAGTGTGAACACAAAAACATACAATCTGCCTTTTAAATAACCAGGATGGACAAGTTCCAGCAAGTATCATCTCTAACTAAATCATCTTAGGGCCACTGTAGGCAGTCTGTCCAAACAACATCCGGCCGGCTGCTCAAGTACTATGTCCACACTATAATGGGTCACTGTGACACAAGAACACAAGAACTTGAGCTGATCCCACAGTATGTCTAATCTGTAAACTGCTAAATGTGATTTGTACAGAAACACATGCCCAGTCTTATTCACTTCACCACATAACAGACATGATTATAAAACACTCTGTCTAGACTTTCTTGCAGTCAGATGACTATTTGAGTTTGTACTTTAATTGAGCTTGAATTGCCAAGGTATTCAATGCTGCTTATCTAAAACTGTGATATTCAAGAGACAACACGCAGGGCAGATCAGCAACTACAGTGGAGAGAAATATATTACAACAGGGTGGGAAAAACCTGATCAAAACTCCCCTGAGGTCCTGCCCAATCTGTCAATACAAGCATACAGTGACCCACAAATACTTTTCAACTGGCTCCAATATGTGCATTACTAACATGACTGAACCAGTGACATGTACCACAGTATTTCTGAGGTGACTCAAACCATTTCACAACTCTGAGGTAGAGTCATATATACAGAACCGATGCTGCTGTGAAATCCTGAAAGCTCCAGCCCAATCCACAACAATTCTATGTCTGAGACAGGGATTTTGGATACAAATGAATGTGGGTCAAAAATAGGCCTGACTGAATGGACAAAATCCGGAAGACAAACATGATGTGTGCACATCAGCCATCTTGCACAAGATGCAGAGAACAGTCTTTCAGTTAGTATGGAGGTTTACCAGAAAAATATCAATATAACCTATATGACACCAGAAATGGAACAGTCAGACAAAGGGTCAGAACACTAAAGAAAAAAGCTGCAGATAAAGTGTACAGGACACAAGTAATGTAAATTACATGAGTACTATGTTAACTCTGAAAATGTATTATTTGGAGTCCACGTTACTTTTAACCTTTTCTATTATTTAATTTTAAACATATTTTTAAAGATACCAATAGAGACAGTGCTTAAGATGATAAAGATGACATTACCTGTAAGCTTCCAGGACTTTTACTATTGCAAGTGCCCAAATTATATGGTCATATAATGAACATGCTGGAGTATATGGGTGTTTACTGTTTAGTTTAAACTGTACATTTATATATATTTTCCTCTTTCCATTATAAACATATAACTGAATTAAGCTACACAAGCAATGGGTCAGTTGAGACAAATAACTACAAGTTTGTTATCATACAATTTACACTCACAAGTTAAGCAAGACAAGAAAAAAGCACCTGTGGAAAACAGTTCCCCACCTGGTTCTCTCTGACAGGTCAGGCAACTGATAATGTGACCCTAGACCTATGGTTCAAATAGCTATGTTGCTGAGCCCAACCAGGCATAAAAACACATCTTAAGAAATAACCAGTGATCCTAATGTAGACCCCAAGAAGAGAAGAAAAAGTAAAGCCGCTCTGCATTATTAAAACTGCTGACCCTCTGCATGCGTCATCTGCTGCAGTCATTACACAGAGGCAATTTTCAGCAGAACTGAAAGTGTAAATAGCTATGACCACATATTTTAACAATGAGAAGCATCTAATTGAAGCTGTTTCAGAGTAAATTACACAGAGGAAGAACGAAGTGCCACACCTCAGCTCACTGGCAGAGTTCTGGGTATTTAATGCCAACACAAGGGAACCAAGGCTATCTATATCGGTGGCTGATGTCAGTCAGACCAGCTGTTCCAGGCTGCATCAGTGTGACATGAATTGAATTTTTGAGTAATCCTTTGAAGAATGCATCTGTATGCAGGAATTCATTTGTCTTAAAATAGAAATATTACTTTACACAACCTCACAATCCTTTTAAAATTGAGTGACACAGTGCGACCGCATGCCATGACAGCAGAACACACAAATTGTCCAGCAGTTGCTTTATATTAATCTGGTGTGAAAGGGTACTGTTAGGAGGCAAAGGTCATTAGGAGGAAAGAGACATGAATGTAAAAATCAAAAAGTTAACATCCATCTGTAAAGCATCTTATTGCTCCATCATAAGGTCTTATGCTAAAAAGAGAGAGACTTAGTAAATATTCAAAAGCAATAATTAGTTATAAACACCCAATCTAAAACCTACACAGGGATCCAGCCTACCACTGCAAAGCTCTTCTTCTTTTACATCATCTTCCTCCTGTGTTCAGGTTATTTAAGCATTATCATTTCTCATCAGGTCATAAACAGACTATGTTATGCTATATTTGAAACCTGACCTTTGAGCTAAAATATCCTGGTGTACAAAAGATGTAAACTTTTCCACTGGAAAAGAATGACCAAAGCATGTGGGACTTTTAATTAGTTTTTACTTCCATTTCTCTAGACGCATTATATGGGTCGGGTATAGTTATATGCATAACAAAACGATAGAAATCCTCATCATCCCGTTTTCCAACTCTGGTGTTTCAGTCAGAGGGAGAACAGCTGTCACATCAGGGACCACTTGAATGACTCCTCATGCCTGAGTATGTCAACAACATGCAGAAGGTGGAGTCTCTAAGAGCAAGTGCCCCCAGCTGTCTGGTCATCTCAATGTCATCATACTCACTGATGTCCACAATCTACCAAAACCCCAGGCTGTCATGTTACAACTTATGTTGACAGGGTGGGAAATCTCACACATACATGCAAAATGTACTGAGACTTTTAAATCTTTTGTGTGGCCTGACTTCTATAATTAAGCAGTCAAAAGTAAAAATCCTACTGACCTCTGGAGACCACAATCACAGCATAATAAGGTTGACAACTCACAAGCTGAAAGAAGTGCTAGTGATAGGCTAGGTTCAGACACTCCTGTCTCTCATACGCATACTATATTCATTTGTGAGTGAAGCTGGAACATTTGGAAAGTATTTGACTAATAGTCATTACATATGCCTACAGACATGGTGGCTCCACTGTGACAGTACAGAGTGGACAGCCACACAATGCTTTGGATGTAGTAGGATACTGAGCAGCCCCTTGTGGCCAGCTTGGGAAAATAAAGATCCCAAAGAATATAATAGGACTAAGTTTGAGTAAAAACATTAAATCTATCACTTATGATTGATAATATACACTGATTAAAGTCCCTATGTGTAGGATTTGAAACATTTCCAACTCTGGATACTACTAGTGGCATGTGAAATTTTAAAGTAGCTAACAAGCAAGTTAACATTCAGGTTTTCAAGGGAGTTATTAATTACATTCACAAGTGTGGAATTCATTCTGCACAATTGTATTGGATTGCATCAGAAGGTACAAGTGTACTAAATAAATAGGTTATTTAGAGTACAAAGTGTACTACTGCTAGACCAACAAAGCAGCCAGACCAATAAGTCTGAAACACTGTATAATGTTTAGATATGTGTGATTTAGACCATTTAAATTACATTCAGTGAACACTGCAACTTGATATATCCCCAATTACTACCAGCACAGTCTATACTGATTCTACCTCCTGTCAAACAGAAACATGACTTACTGATACTACGATTTTGTAATACACTCCCCAAGTTGAAAAAGGATGAAATGGAAGGTCACACTTTGTTTCAATGTTAGTGAAAGCAACCTTATGAAAGCTCTGTGACATATCACCTGAAGACTCTCTAAATCTTGCTTAAACCGGTTTTTTACTTGTAAGAGGTTCAAGAATGATGGCCAATCAGCTTCATGCTTACAAAATCTGATGACGAACATTTAAATGTCTAAAATGTCAACTTACTGCTTAATTTGATAATTTACCTTTTTCGTGCTGACAGACCTCCGTAGTACTCTGCCACTGGGTCCTGCCACTCTGGTATTACTGCTACTGCCTGAGGGGAGGGTGGTAGCAGATGTGGAGCTGGAAGGAGTACTGAGGGCAGCAGGCTTCTTCTCTGCCAGGTTTTTTTGTGATGCCACATTGTTGTTTTCATTCAAGCTTAAAGATCTTTTGTCCTGGGCGTCCCCACTACTCAAATCAATGTGTTTTCCACTTTTAATTAGGTCAAGATAATCTTTTAGTAGGGCCTGGGTCGCACGATCACTCAGCCAGTTGAGAAAGAGCTCATCCACCTTCATTTTAAGAACAGGCTGGAGGACTTGGGGTGACGGCATTTTGCAGAATATCAATTGCTGGCTTCTCTGACAAAAGTACCTGTGTAAAAAAAAATAAGAGGAATGGTAATATAACATACTTCACTTCTGTATTTGCATCACAACGTAAAACCACACTGCACAAAAGAGGAGCTAAGTTACTACACATGCTGTGAGTGATGGCATCAACTACCCTTGCTGTAAGCACACAGCTAACTGTTATTGAATTTTAGCGCGAGGCGTCAATGCCTCAGCCCACAAACAAAAGTAAATGTGACCTCGATAACTTTAGCTACGTTTTAACTTTATTACCAGAAAATGCGCCTCTTAATGCCAGCATATATTTGGCTAACGTCACTTAAGGTACGTGACTACCCAGGAAAAAGCAGTCGGCTTCGACAGAGTCAGTAAAGTGTTAGTTAGCCAAAAACTAGAAACAGCAGGCAACAAGTTTGTTAGCTACAACAGCTTTAGCAAGCTAACGTTGGCTGGCTAACTAAGATACCAACCTTGAAGTGAATGTCAGTTGTACGAAATGCGTTGATATGGCTCCACATTACGTTCTTCATAAACGAGGTTGTGTCCCACACATTTATCTATGAATTACCTGCGAATGTAAGGCTAGCTCCGGAGGTTAGTTCGATGGGAAAAAGCAGAGCAGACAAGTGCAACTTTTCAGGCTCACGTTCCCCAGGTAACCACACTAACGCGAGATCTTTCTCAGAGCGAGAGTTCATCCCACCCACCGGTTTCTCCCTCAGGAAAAGAGAGTTTATCGTCCATCGGATAGGTATTACCCACTGTGGTGTACGTACACATTTATCCACTCCACCGTTGCCTCGGCTTCCAAAACACCCCAGTTGTAAGTATTGGAATACGTATTCAGAGCTTTTTCTTGAGTAAAAGTTGGAATATTGTGGTCTAACGTTCCTAAAAAGTCGTCACTGATAGGCTAAAAGGTAAGGTAAGGTAAGACTTTATTGATCCCACAATGGGGAAATTCCTGTGCAGCAATAGAGAGCAAGTAACAAAACACCATAAGAACAAATACCACACACATATCGTGAGAGACAAATTCCAAGTACCTAAAAACTAGACAAAATATAGTATTTAAGATACAATCAGGAACAAGATAATCCTCCCACAATTAATCCCTGAGAAACAAATCAAGTACTGCATCCAAATGCTTTCACAAAGTAAAGCCTATTATCAACAAGGTGTAATGGCATGTAAAATAAAGTATGATTTATATTGGTGAATTTAAAAACTCAATCTTCTGCTAAGCAATTGACTGTAATGTTACAAACATTTATTGTGTATTTTAAATGTCAAATCTAGCCTAACTGGCTTTCAATTGCGTGATGCTCAGTTCTCTCCAATAGATAAAAATACTCCTTTAAATTACCTCAAATTGAACTTTTGTAGCACACTAAATGAACTTAATAAACTTATTCAGTAGGCTACCAACACCTTTGTCTTGTTCTTAAGGTACTGATATAAAGTCAATTAATTAGTTAGTTGACAAGCAGTAAATTAATCTGCAGTCATTGTGGCAATTCTAGTCATTTTAAGTACATTTGCCAAATATTTGTTGGCTCAGCCACTCATATATGATGATTTGATGTATTTCTTTGTTGTCTATGATACTGTAGTAAATTCAGTATTTTGGGGTTTCAGCCTGTTTGTGCAATAAACAAGACATTTCAACACTTTGACATTGGACTTTTGGGAATAATAATAATAAGAATAAGAAGAAGCATTTTCACTACCTTTCTGACATTTTATACAATTAATATAAGAAAATATTTTTGCAATTATTCAATAATGAAACAATCATTAATGCAGCCCATGTATGACATGCAATGTTGATGTTTGCAAGTTGAGACACATGCAAGCTTATCTTGTTTAACACAATTATATTCTGTGTTCTTCATATTTATAATAGCCATCTACATAGTTTTATTAATTTATTATTGACTTGTTTTTTATGCAATGCAACATCCAAATTTGAGCTGGTAGTACTCATTTCCAGGAAATCGATCCTGTGTATTCAATTTAGCCTCTTATGAACTTGATCCTGACTCTCTTTGCTTGAATAACAATGATACATCTGTGCCTCATTCTGCTCTCTTTTCTTTCCTCGTACCCATACTCCTCGAAGCTTCGAAGCAGCTGGACTGAGCACCTGGTGTGAATGGAGCTGAACATCCTTATTGATTTCTGCAGGGAGGAGAGGTCCAGACATTGTGGCTCCCTCACTGCATCCTCAGCATGGAAAGCAAGCAACACGAGAAAAGGTCAGTTTAAATAATGGGCACCTCATTTGATGCTCAGAGAGAAAAATGTAGTGGATTGTTTTCAACAAGAAGGGACTTTCCAACTCTGCATTTTATACCAGTCCCAAGGAAGCTTCACGGTGTATTTAAAGATCAGGAAACACATTTACGCTTACAGTTAGTTACACTTCAGTAGCTAACGTGTAGCATTACTGAAACAGATTTCATGATCACAAGGTCAGGCATTAAGGGTACAATAACAGTTTTACTTGCTGTTAATTTTATGTACACAAGCATTGCCTTGAAAAAAACTTAGTTACTGCATTTTTATGTGAAATCAGTGTTGCCAGGTAATTATACTTATCATGTAGGCAACATAACAAATTGTGTCTAGGCTAATACTATGTCACCTTTATCAATGACAAATTATAGCCCTAATCAAAACATTTAGCCTGTTTTTTCATTAACATTTTTCTGTGCCATTTGTTATGTAATTATTTATTGCTAATGCTTGTTTTGTTTTACACGGACATCTTTGCTGAGATGCAGCATGAAGAATGTTACTGTGTGTGTTTTTGAAGACAACTTTGAAGCAAAAAATGAAAAGATTTCCTATGAAGACTATAACACAGCTGTATGTTGACCTACCAAAAATGACCTTACATGGGTTTAGTATGTTTCTCTATATTTTCAGCATGAAGGAAATTAGGGACACCTACAGTATCATTTCAAACCTCTGTCTTGTTAATAGCCAATACTCAAAGTGCCTGTGGCCTTTTATTTAAGACCACAGTAATGGTGGCTGGACAGTGTTGAAATTATTGACTGAACTGTCCATTAAATCAAATATGAAACATTCAAAGTCATCTGAGGCACAATACGTAATGAGAAACCTTTTTGCTCTTTAGAACAGTGAGTCTTAAATGTATTTTTGAGCCTAATCAATATCATAAATCAGAAGAGAAAAAGTCTACTGTAGGTCTTGAAACTTTAAACTTTGCAACTTTTCAAAGCGTAATTACAGTGTACAAATAGGATTTTACCCAAAGCAATGAGCATGTTGTTTTTTCATGCCTTGAAGGACATTTCAAAGGTTTGGCCGAGGCTGAAACCACAGGGGGACAGCTGGTTAGCGTAGGAACGTGTTAGTGAGAAGTTCATGTGTGCATCTCTCCGTTACTGCTGTCAGCTATGCTATATGGACGCTCTGTGAAGCAATCTGCTCTAATAAGGAGAGCGAATAAAGCTGAAAGTGTTGTGCTGTAGCTAAACGCTGTAGAGAGGTATTTGGATGATACTGTAGTCTGTGTATGTATGTATTCCTTTTCTTCTACAAATATTCCAAAATTAATCTTTGTAGGTTTTCTCAGTTTTTAAATATTTCTGTCTTTTTATTTTTATGTTTCTGCATGCAATTTATATTACTCAGAAATACTTACAGAAATACAATTGTTTGAATCTACTTTGAAACATACATAATGGTTATAATATTTTGGAATTGAATTTTAGTTTTGGCTATTTTATGATTTTACTTTTTCATGCTTTTGGATTCATACCTGTCTAAACATAAACTGTATATGGAAAGCATGGACATCTGAAAAGGCTTATCAAAGTTTTTTTGTGAATAAAGAGAAACACACTGAGTTGTGAATATGATCATTAGTAGTACATGAGTTTGTACAGAATATAAAGTTTTGTGACCAATAAAAGCTTTGTTCCTGAAAGGACTGTTATATTTTTGCTACCCCATTTTGTAAACCAGATACATAAAATAGAGGCATCCTTCTGAATGTCTGGTGATGGATTAGCCTTCTTCAGACTGAGACGCAGCGACAGAGAGAGAAACCATTGTATATAATAGAAAAAGGTTTTTCATCTTAATTAGTCTGAGGTGTGATTATATGAACAACTTGCCACAGCAGTGTTTTGGTCATGACCCAATATCAGTGGTCTGTAGAAAACCAAAATTTACACCATTAATTGTAAAATCAGTTATAATAATTAAGTTGGTTTTAACCTTGTATGTATTGGACCTCTGTGCTGAACCTTTGCAGCAGAGCTAAATGTGAATGTAGTACTGACACAGTCATGAGTGAGCATTTAGAGCCACATTCACGTTTTCATCTGCCCCAGTCATCTTCTCCTCCTACCCAGACAGTGAAGAACAAGTCTGCCTGGATTTAAACAAAGAGCTGTGAGTGAGAAGAAACTAGACTGAGATCCCTAGTTGTTATATGTTTTAAACATATCATTTTCACTCTGTGAACTGAGGAATAATTTCAAAAAGATGTCACAAAAGTAATTTTTGCTGCCTGAGCACTAATATTCCACTTATGTATATAAAGTGACTTTAAAACTATAAAACTCATACAAATATAAATAATTTTACACCCACCTGCGATTATTTTAAAGGGCATCTCTGATTTGTTGCACAGCTCAGAATAATAAGCAACATAACAATGGAAAGGAAAAATAAATATATTCTACTGGCTGCTTTAGTCAGTACATGTTACTCACCTCAGTTACCTGGGCGAGTTCAGAAATGTCACTCATGTTTTCTGCCACAGCCTAGATTTAGTACACACTACTACTCCACAGTTAACAAAAAGAATAGATTTGTACTAGATTATCTCCTGTGTCTGATTTCCAATAATAGCCAGATAATGTTGAAATAACCGCTTGTATAAAGCAGCAATTTTACAAGAATGTTGCTGGTCTAGTGATATTTTTGACCAAAAATAGCTTTGATCTTGGTCTTAAACATTCTTTGTTTGATATGGCTTTCAAATGAACTGTGGTATGAACCTCACTTTCTGCCTCCCAAAATGGCATCTGGTAGTGATGAGCCTTCTCATAGCTCTTTCATGGCTACACTGTAAACATGCTACAGTTTTTATTCCTTAAGAAAATCACAGACAGAGAATCAAACTGTCTTCAGTCAACATTTAGATTCCTAATACACTGTGCGAAATGGAGCCGCAGAGGAGGAGACTTCTTTCATTAGACACTTCACTGGGGCTCTGAAGTTTGCTCCTTCCATCTGAGATGACTTTAAAAGAGAAACAATGCATCTGCCTATTGGGGTCTTTGGAGATTTTCTCTCTCATCACATATTAATGAAAGAGGTGGCATGTGTGGAGTTGGAGAGCTTAAGCAGGAAAACCTGGCTGTGAGTCTGGCGAAGACAACTACCTTTATGTCAACAGATATGTGGCCGTGTGTGGTGTATAACTGATTTGAAATATGACGTTTCTCAAGACATCTTAACACTGATGGTCTTTACAAAACCTGAACATGTTCTTCACGCTAGTACTGCTACACAAGAACGTAGAATGTGTAACAGCTGCCTGTAGGGGGCACCCTGCACCTGGGATGCTTCAGGGCTACACCTTTCACCCTTTCCCCTTGCCCACAAAGATAGACATGCACACTCATAAACAATATTCACTCAAGTACAGTCATCTTATATCAGGCCCACAGATGGCATGAGTTAGAAGTGAATGTACTCTATGTCACACACTGGCCTTTGCTTCTCCTTTAATGAGACAAGCTTATCAGGATGGAGCAGGAGTGTTTTGATAGTCTCAGAGGGACATGTCGCACAGAAATGGTAATGCTAACAATTCACAGCAAATCAAGAAGGATTTTACTGGAACAGAGGATCACACCATTTACCAGTTGTTTATTGTTTGCTATTGTTGTGTTCACTGCAGTCTAATCACATTTGGAGGTCGGCCATAGCACCACATCAACTCCAAGCGGAAAAGCTTTTTTTGAAGCCTTTCATTTTGCTGTGCCATAGTAACTGCACTGAGCAGCCCTAGACAACAAGCTGCCTTTACTTTCAAGATTAAAAGAAACAAGCATTACATCACTTTCTAAATAGCTTTGTGAATTAAGGAAATTGCACGTAAATTGGTCACCGAAAAGAACGGCCAGCCCGTTTAGAAAAATGTGTTTCATCTATTAATTTGCCTCAAGATAATAATCGTTTGCATAATGACTTGAACATGGGAAAAAGATTTTGTGTTCGATTCTGAGGAAAAGTTGTTGGCTGATTCAGCAGACAAAGGTCTCTTTTCCTTCTTTTTCTTTCCTATGGAATAACAGATTTGTGGCATGAAAGCAAGAAAATTATGGAAATCAGCGAGGCCTTCATTATACCAAGGTCATTACAGATGGATTTTATCCTCCTCTGTACTCATAGGAGGTAAGGGAATCCTATTCTCCATGACCCAAGGCCTCACCTTTGAACACACACAAGCTTACACAAGGGTTCCTGATGCATGCACACACACGTGCACACTCAAACACACATTAGTTTCTCTTTCATTTGGCCTCCTTGAATTTCATCATTCATTTTTACATCACATTAGAGTAGTGTGTTAGTGGTTGGTGTGTCTGCATGTAGAGGGCGGCTGTTACTGCGGGAAAAGACTGAATAATGCACGGGAAAAATCAGGGGAAGCCTCGAAGGGAGTCGGCAGCAGCCCAGTTGATCACCTCCTTATACCACATATATGAAACAGAGTATACATGAAATGAAATAAATAGATCATAGAGCTTCTTCTTGCTGTTTTTAGGCCATGCACTGGGGCAACAGTTTGTTGGCTGAGAGTCAGTTGTTGTAAAACTCACAAAAATGACTGAATAAAAGCCTTAATTTCAGTACTCATTTTGTGTCTCCTTACATCCACAACAAAACAATTTGTAGACCAAGAAGAGAACAGGAACAAAACGTGAGCTAAGGGACTGAAATATCTCTCTGTTTTGTTACATAATGTTATAGTAACTCTTGGAACAATGAAAAGTTAACTCTGAAAGTGAGTAGTTAAGGTTACCATTTCTTTCCAGACATGGGTTGGTATTATAATACATGAAGTTAGAGTAATTTAGTTTCAGATTAACCCATACACACTTTATGGATCAAAAGTTAACATTTTTAATGAACATCCCAACACAGTTGAGCCTTTATCAATGGCTCCATCAATACAGGAAATAAAAAATAAAAGAAATAACTGTCACCTTGATGAGAAGGAACGAGTTAAGATGGTCTCTTCAGTCTCTTTTCAGTGACCAGCAGTAATTGGCTTGCATATTAAATCAACACTGTGATATGTGGCCCCTCAGAGACAGAGGAATTGTGTGTGTGTTGTGTGTCAGTGTGCAGGCTCATGGTTATAGTCCAGGTTCAGGGTATTACAAAAAAGAAAATATATTTAGTGCTATGTGTTGTCCATAGATAGTCATATAAACTGTAAAATCTCTCAGAAGCCCAGCTTGGTGCCTGCCAACACACACTGGCCTTCACGTCTGATGCTGCCATCATTTAAGCTTTAGGAGGAGCTTGAGGCTTCTGTCCCAAATCCTTGATCTGGTTCACATTACAGGATGAGCCCCACTGTCTGTTCTCTAAATTAAACAGACTCATTATTGTATTCCTTCTTGTTCAAGACAGAATCTCTCTGTCTTTAGCTAATGAAGCTTTGCTGTGTTGCAGCCTGTTCGCAATGCATTGAACATACATAAAGCTATAAAATGAACACAAATGTTCACATCTGGTTTGCACGGGAACTGACAACAGGCCAGGGTATATCCTGTTTCATGTGCGAGAACAGTAATAGACATGTAAATGTTCCCCTCATGCAGGTTTTCAGTGGAACGATCCTCCGCTGCCTTGTTGTTTTTGTGTCTGGGTGTTTTTATAAGCACTGAAAAAGATGCACACTTCTCAGATCAGAACTGGCAGATGTGCTCGGGAGACAGCACTCAAAAAGGATGGACACTGGGCACCTGATCGGACAGGATCAATGAAAAGCAATTAGTTGTAGGGGCTGGCCTGTATGTGCACAACTACAGGGGCTGAGGCCTTTATAGCAGCAAGGAGAATGAGGGGATAAACTATAAAAATGTGTCTGATAATTCGTTTTAAGTTCATAAACAAGACAGAAATAGTTCTTCCTCATAGATTAGGTGAAGCAGTCTGTGATGATATGCACAGTGTACAGTATTTATGTGCTTGTGTGATTTGCACATGGGTTATGTGTTTTGCTTAACATCTATTGTCATAATGATGTGTGATTATTAAGGGAGCAGGGTCTTCACAGCAGGGAAAAAAGGGGCTGAGTCGACAACAGGTTCTGCTTCCCTTTGAGTCTTTGAATGCTCAGCAAATATACATATTCATATGCTCCGTATGCAAACAATAGCAGACATTTTTTTTATGATCTTTCTTTATTTGGTTTGCATTCATTTATGAAAACACTGTTTTTGTGGATGCAAACAGGGGTATAAGGTAGTAGCAAAGAATGGTTTCTTGTAAAAGAGGTGGACACAGAATCCAGAAGCCGATGCCTTGTTATTTCAGTAGTGTCCCTGGAAGAGGTTAAGCTCTGTTAGGCTAAACCAGGCGTTGTGTTCTGTGTGGGCTGAAAGGACAAGTTCTGACCATTAGTGTGCCGCCTGTGCCTGGGTCCAAAGTACAAAACAGAGTGTTTCTTCCGATGTCTATGTATAATGATGGCACACAACAAATAACTCAGAGCTTGATCCAGGTTTTGTTACTTTATTGTGATTTTTTTCCCCTGTTTATCTGCTCCAACTAAAATATCCCTCATTTATGGCCCTTAAAACCAAGTGAAGGTATAAACACATCATATAGGCTGCAATGAAGTGCTTTCCTCCTTTTCTGGATTCATGCATCTGCTCCTT